AATACGGAAAATCACTACAGCTCATTTGAATTATGGTTTTCTTGTAAAGTAAAATAAACACACACACAATATTACAATCACATTTCGTTCAACGTATCGATGCTTACCGGCTGCTCAATGTCGTTAGAAATGGTCATATTTTTTATCAATATTTGCGATATTTTTTAAAAGAAATTTCTATAGATTATTGGGAAATATCCCATGATCGGTTATGAACACCGAAAGGTGCATATAAACTTATGAATGTTTCTAGGAGGTTAACTTAACACTCCGTAATGAGGTCGAGCAAAACTAGTCGATGCTTTCAGTGAACAAGTGTCAAATAATGATGTTAAAAGTAACTGATTACAAAAAATTAAAACAAATATTTACTGATATCAAAATAAAATTGAGTCAGTTTGGTAGAGTATATAATTCCATAATAGAATAATCTTATTGGATAAAATACAAGGTCATTTAATAATGTGTATTTACCAATGACTTTTCAGGCGTAGTTTATGGTCCACAAATGTATCAAGGTTAAGTGATATAATTAGTAGCCATAAATTGTATTCGAAAATTTATTAGTGAATAAGAAGTACTATATTACAGTATGTTTTATTAAGTAACATTATTATTCTGTTTCAAGGAAGGATATAATGTACGTTTCCTGAGTCTATGACTTTGATATATTGAATGAAAGAAGCTTGAATGGCAGGTGTTTTTACCTTTTATCCATTAATGCTATGTTAGATGACAGACGACCACCACACTGTTGGAATATGTACACTTTTATTATACTTTCATATCAGCTGGAAACAGTTTTCTTCTTTGCAGGATTTGTGGTTGACACTATGTACTACTGATTGGTTAAAATGAGTAGACAGGCATAACTCACATCAATCAGAATTACTTGACAACCTGACTGGAATGCTCTAAACACTTGACAGATATTTGGCTCCTTTTGGGCTGTGATCATCCTAGGTTACCCTGATTGACTTATTTCAGAGAGCCGATTCATTTCAGACCACCCAAATTCTGACTAGCTACTTGGATGAACTGATAATGCGTTAAAAACATTCGTGAATTGAAAAATGAGATTAGATTGTTTGTGATTATTTTTGTGGAACAAAAATATTGAGCAAATTATCAGAAGGCGAATACAAATTAAGTGTTGGTTTGTAAGGGTTTGGTTGGTTACAGGATTTCGTCATGAGCCGACATTGGTTAGAGAACCATTGGAAAACCACCTGAGAGTACTGGACAGCTGTTTCGTCCTAGTTTGGGACTCTCCAGAAGTACTAACCCACAATGAGGGTTCTAACCTAGGGCCTTCTGGTTACGAGGCGAGCTCGTAGACCATTAAGACACTAGGACTGGATCCAATGTCCCATGAATTCTAACTTCTGCCAATTCACGATATAGCGCGACCCTTAGCCAAGGGTGCAGCGGGGAGGGTGTGAGAACAAATACTCGCCTAAGATATTGGCTAATAGTAGCACTATGTCATGAATTGGCAGAAGTTGGAATTCATGGACTGGCCATTGGATCAAGTCCCAGTGGCTTAATTGTATGGGAGATCGCCTTGTAACCAGAAGGTCCTGGATTCAAACCGTGGTGTTGGGTGCGTACTGATGAAGAGTCCAAAACTAGGACGAGACAGCTGTCCAGTACTCTCAGGTGGTTTTCCAATGGTTCTCTAACCAAGGTCAGCTCATGATGAAATCCTGTAATTACAAATTAATTAATCAGGTTGTATCCTAAGTGTAAGTGTGAATAGTTGATGATTCGTAGTTTGAACCACTGCCTATATATCCAAAAAACTATAAATGAGTCATATTTAATACATTAAAACTGATGTTGCAAACTTGGTTAAGAATATTTTATGAGTAGAATAAACATTGACGCTATTGTTCTCCTTTTCACGTATTATTAAGCTACAGTGCCAATGGAACATTAAATTACCATAAGGCTCAAAGGCAGCGTCAAAAAAATTAGATGAGTAAAATTGTGAAAGAATTTGTAAATTTATATCAGTAAATGTAAATCACACACCTTTGATAGTATATATATACATATATATTCAGAGATTTTTATAACTCATTGCCTTCTTTCAGGCATTACCATTAATTTTAATTCTGATTAACAGTATATTTGTGTGTACAAATTGAGATAACGCCTTCATATAAGAAGCACTTTTTGTGTATTCACCATTAACACCATCCAAAAGTCGTAATTTACGTATTATATACAAACGTTTAGGGGTGGCAGGCTTGTGGTTGTCGTCTGAGTGACCAGAACGGAGTAGATTGCCGACTCCACATCCATCCCATCTGCTCTTGAAGATACTCAGCACTTCTGTGTCACATCTCATTTGTTTTATCTACCTGGACAGCCTTCGTAGCTTAGTACATTGAACAAAGAATTCACGTCCCCGCTCTTATCCTCGCTTTCATCGAGAAAATATATATCGGCTAACTGGCTTCTCGAAGGCTTTCATTAGCTTGTATCTTTTAACCTCTCCGATTCCAGCGAAGAATAAGTTTGTTTTTATATTTTCTTTGTATTATTAATATTTTTCTCGTGCGTTGAGGTTTCTTTGGCAGTTTGATTGTTTTTCTTGTGTTATGATTGCTAGCCCCAGACCCCAGCCCTCCTTCTTTAGCCGCCCGAGTGGGTGCTCGGTGCAAGGATGACATGGAGATCATGTGAGTCGGAGGATGAGATGAGAGATTATGGGCAGTCGTGGACTGCAGAAAACAGAACGAAGTAGAGATGTGTTGTTGAAACCGTATCTACCACTAGGAACCCAAAGAAATAAAAAAAATTCCAACGTCTCTTCATTATCCTACAGTTAGTCAGGCATTCAGTTGTTGGTTTATAGGGATTTGATTGGTTACAGGATTTCATCATGAGCTGACATTAGTTAGAGAACCACTGGGAAACCTGGGAGTGCTGGATAGCTGTTTCGTCCTAGCCTGGAACTCTTCAGTGAGGCAATTTGAAGAAAGCACTTTCATATTACTGACAGGATATATATAATTAAAATGTCCTACTGTATTTCTATTTGCTATAAAATAACAGTACTAGTTTACTTAGTCAAAAATCACCTAAATAAAACTGGAAACTAGATTAAAAATTGAATAAACCCCACGTTAACCATATACATTTCATTTCATTCGCTGAAGAAGCGAATCAAAGTATCCATCTACATAAGATGCAACTAGTTTTATTTCAACCCCTTACACGAAGCGCTCAATCAAAAAAATATTGTTTCTCTCCTGAGCACGCAGGATGTTTGGCATTGGTGAGAAAATTACTTTCTCTTTAGTTTGAAAGCAATTTAGTTTGTAAGAAATTCTAGTTCATAGGTTCATTTTGTTTTATTTCTGAATGATCAGAGTTACAGTTGACAGTCATCTACTATGGAGTTTACCTAGTTCTCAATGTAAATAACTTAATTGACTTTCATGGTTTCTTAAACCGAAAGTGTGTTGCTTTTGAGTGAGAAAAACATTATGCCAGTGAAATTACTTTACTCCTGAAATGCACAATTCGTGCACATACAACTAATAAAACTGAAGTATCCATGTTGTTTAACTACATTAAGAAGAAGTTCTCATTAAGGTGTCTTATTCGCAGTAACTGTGGATTATTTTTATGAAGAAATCCAGAAAGATGATAATTTTGTAATTGAAAGTGTGTCAGTTACTCAATCTTTGGTGTAACTTATTTCCTATGCAGCCAGTTTGAATAAAAAAATTACTGACAGATATTAGAGCAACACATGCTAACTGAAATAGTTGTTAGCAAGAGTTTTTGTAACTCAAGGGCACAAGTATCTTGTCTAAGAGCTACTTTGAATAAACAATAAAAGTGACATTAAGTCGCTTAAAAGTTTTCTTTGCAAGACGTGCTAACGAATTTGACTTCTTCTTAGAATATACTTACTTTTATTTAGTGTGATTTTGATAGTGTTCATGACATAAGTATGAAAAGTTTGCTAAACTATTTCAAAACATCATAGATAAGATTTTATTCTGATAAATCGCACAGTGTTTACAGTTATATATCAGTTCATATAACTGTAAACACTGTGCGATTTATCAGAATAAAATCTTATCTATGATGGAATTATACTCTACCACAGTGCCCAAGTTTTATACTTATATTTCAAAACAGGATTCCATCATGAGCTGACATTGGTTAGAGAACTATTGGAAAACCACCTGGGAGTACTGGACAGCTGTCTCGTCCTAGTTTTGGACTTTTCATCAGTACGCACCCACCACCACGGTTCGAACCCAGGACCTCCTGGTTACTAGGTGAGCTCGTAGACCATTAAGCCATTGGGACCCGATCCAATGGCCAGTCCATGAATTCTAACTTCTGCCAATTCACGACATAGCTTGACCCCTAGCCAATATCTTCGGCGAATATTTGTCCTCATACTCGACCTGCTGCACTCTACTGGTCACAACTTCTCACTGGAACCCCAGGTAACTACCTAACTAAATACGGTAAGTCGCTGTCCAGTACTCCTAGGTTTTCAAATGGTTCTCTTACCAATGTCAGCTCATGATGAAATCCTGTAACCAATCAAATCCCTACAAACCAGCACTTGAATATTTAAAAACAGTCATGTCCAAAATCTCCGGATTACTTTAAGTCTATCTAGGCTAAATGATTTTGTCCTGGAGGCAAAATACATTTTGCAAGGCAGAATTTAAGACCCAGCACTAATAGTCATTCTCTTCCCTAATAGAGTGCATATGAATATATTCCTTTTTTCAGGTGAAAATTAACTTAGGTAACAGAGATTAGTGGTTAGCTCCGTAAAGACAAAAAGGTGTTAGTATGCAACAAGGTTTTATAGCTTTAAGGTGAGAAAAAGTAATCTTTGAAATTCCCTTGTAATTGGACAGTCAATACACCGTGTGAAATGTCGATAGCCTTTGTTGCATATAAATATGTTGGGATTATTTTTTTAATCAGAATAACTAACTGTTAATCATTTGGCAATGATTAAGCTCTTGGTAAGTAATAAGCTATGATACTTTTTAATGGAATATTTTTTTCTCTAAAGATATTGGGTCTCGCTGTCCTTATTCATTGCTGTGACTCTGAAGTTTTATATACTGACAGTAAGTAATTGTTCACAGTCTAATAGTAAAATGCTCACAAAACTTAAATTTTTAAACATTTTTGGGTGAAGGTGGTCGGTGATTGAAGCTTCTTTAAAACAACGGATTACTTACATCTGATATTTTTTCACTGTGAGTATAAAGATCTTCGGTGGAGTGTAAAACAAGAACTGAAATAGTCAGCGAAAGTCTGAGTCCTCTACATTATGAGAAAGGAAGGTTATTAGACCCAACTCTTTAAAAAATAAATGTGTGGTTGAGCGTGATTTATCCTAGATTATGTCATACTGTTTCACGTCTGCTAATTATTGCCACATAAATGTTTCTTAAAGTGATGGCGTCAACAGAATTTTACTGATCAAATTAGTATATTTATAAAACTTGGGCACTGTGGTTGTAAGTAATTCCATATTAGTTTGTTTGTCAGATGTATCACACAGTAAAAAGTATTATTCACTAGATGCCGATTAGAACAAAATTTATTGCCCATTATCATCTTATCAGTTAAAATCACGCGGCTTCGAAACTTGAGTTCTATAGTTTTCTTTGTTCTCTCCTATTCATCTTAGGGGTAGCAGAATTTCCTACATGTCCTACTGGACAGGTGTTGAATCATTCTTAATACATGTATTTGCAAAGCTTCTGTTATCAATCTCTTCCTCCACCCTGTGACATCAGATTTTAAAACCGTCATCTTATTCCATGCACCCTATTGGTGTGGTTGTGTGTAATTGCATGTAGTGGGTGCTATGGCTGCACTATTCTTTAAATTTCTATTCTTATTCGGGTCAACTAATATAAGTGTTCATTATAAATTATTTACATTAATCTCTAATGAATCAGTCTGACTTGGCGCTAAAATTATTCCAGGAAGTTCGTCACACCTACAGTCTGGAAACCTATAATATAGATGTTGATAGGTTTTCATGCTCAGCTAGTCTGACTGCCCCTGTTCGACTAGTTTGAACAATGTATTTGACCTGACAATCATTGCAGGGTAATAGACAAACTCAATCGTTTTGTTTCAAAGGCTCCACAGGATCCTTTAGCCAACAAAGGTTGTTTCTAATTGAGTTTGTGGTTGGTTTGAATGTCGGTCACTTTTATTCCTGCCTTGTTAAAAATTCTGCGTAAGGTTTTCGAGGTTCCTTCTTTGTATGGAAATACTACTGTTGATTTAGCTTCCTTATTGTTGGTGTTATCATCGCCTTGTGCATGTTTGACACGTGTGTCGTCGTTAATATTACCATTATTATTACTATTATTATGATTATCACTGCTAATACTATCATCAGCATCATCATCATATCAAATGCAAATAAGTGCAATAAGAGTGATTCAACACCTGTCCACTCAGACATGTGGGAAATTCTGCTACCCCTTCGACAAATAGGAGAGAATAAAGAAAACTATAGAACTCAAATTTTGAAGTCGTGTGATTACAATCGATGAGATGATTATGAGCAATAAAGTTTGTTCGAAACGTCATCCAGTAAATAATAATACTGTTTCACTTTGTGATACATTTAATAAACAAACCAATATGACCAAATTAGCTTTGCAAATTCAAATCCAAGGACTTATTATATTAAACAAGTATCAACTCATTAGGATACAGATATACCTGATTTAATATCCGATCATACGCATTTCCCAATTTCGATTGTTATGCACCAACAAATTTAGTTGAGTCTGCTCAAGAGAATGAATTGCTAGGAAATTGAAAGTGGTGTGTAACTGCTTCTACCTACCTTGGAATTCTTCTGCAGCGCAGACCATTGATCTTATTTAGGGTCTAACTCATAATGTTGGAATTACAAGAGTCAGAATCTAATTGTCCATGAATTCCAATTCCTCTCAGTTACCAATGTACTGCGGTTAATGTGGATACCTATCCTGAAATCAGCTGAATCTATATAAACCAGTACCTGAAGACGAACTGTTAACTGTTGAGTGAGGGGGCATATCATTTTATGACACTGAAGACTCTGGAAGAGTTTCCATCGGAATTTTTTGTTCGAACTGTTGGACTTGGTTTTCTAAGATTCACTTCCTGACAGACTTTTGAAAATATGCATCCTCAATGCGTAGACACTTGAAAATTGTACTTAATCTCTAACCTTCTACTTCTTTTCTCTTCCAGTATGGGCAGATTATGAGACAGACCCTGTGATTGTAAAACGCGGTAAGTAAACACAGATGATGATCCATTTATTTCAGATTTATGTAATTTCTATATTTATCCTTAAATAAGAGTTTAAATGATAAGTTAATAAGTGATTTCTGCTAATTAGCAATTAAGATAGATTACCAGAAAAATTTAAAATAGTACTAATATTTTTAATACCTAATAATTTGTAGTCCAACTAAAGCAACTAACCGCGGATATATTATTCTGTTATTAGACAGTTCACACATGTACAAATAATAGTCTGCGGTAGAAAAACCTATGCAAACTGGAAAAGAAACTATGAGATTAAAGGCAATAAATTGGGCCTATTGCTTAATATGAGTAATTGAACTCTACTCATATCAACCAGTATATCAAGTTAAAATTTAGATTAGTTTTTGTCTAATATCGTTTTTAATGTCAGCATATGAGTAACTTTGACCTGAATACCTTCACTTCCCATTGTTATTCTTGTTTAAATCTCATCATTTGAACAGGTTAATGATTTTAAGTCCTGCTCTAATTTAACATCTGCAAAAATCCTTGCAATCCTTTCTGAATATGATAGCATATTAAGAATTCTTCCAGTTATGTTAAGATTTTATGTACGTAATTATTTGATTCGGTGGCATAGCAGTTAGGACGCCCACCGACCATGCACATAGTCCAGGGTTCGTTCCTGGACACCTGATATCACTGGTCAGCCTGCTAAATTTGGCTATCGATATCACATGCTGAAAGTTTCATAGTTGTACCTGAAATACTGTGTGGAATCAAGCCATAATAAAAAAAATAATAATATAAGTAGGTTTTAATGAAATGTTTTAGAAGATAAGTAAACAACAAATGAAGTGACGTTTGAAAGTTGTGTGGTCACTTTATCAATTATCATGAGCAATATTTTGCCATCAGTGTTTAGCTGTTTCAAATATGCAAAGATAATAATATAGAAGTGCGTCAGTGGCACAGCAGTTAGGACACTTGCCGACCATACACATGGTCTGGGATTCGATCCCCGGCCAATGACGCACTCCTTTACCTCTCTACGCCAGAAATAATGCTGGTAAAGAGGAAAGGTTAGGCATGAGGCTAGCAACCCCATCCTGTAAAAATAAACACTGCTACAGAAACTTCAAGCCCCTAGCTTGAACGTGAAGGGAACGTGAAGGAAAAAAACAATAATATAGAAGAATGAAACAGTTAATTGTATACGTCTCTACCATAAAGTCGACTAGAACTTTCAACGCTTATATAATTCTGAATCGAACAAAGACGGATGCAGCAAAAATTTTGCGCTTTAGGATAAAAGGCAAGCACTCCTATGCATATTATCAAACTGAATGACTAAACAAGTGTTGGTGCGTTTTTTCAGATTAAATCTTCCTTCATACTTACAATTTTAACGTTAATATTGTAGTATTTAAATGATGAATACAAGTTCATCGCTTTAAGATATTGAACATATTTTGGGCCAGTTTTAAACTAATGATACAAATTAAATTTCTTCAGCTTACAAGATTGTCGGTAGAAGTTCACGTAAGTAAAACTTTTAAAAATGAGTCGTCACTTATTTAACAAGTTACTATGATAAAAGTTAAATATTCCTAAACATTCTGTAATCAAAAGAGTATTAGGATAACATAGAAAGAAAGCTACAAGTTGTACATTAGTAACTTAGTCTTAATCATTATTCCATATGTGATGTGAACGCATTAGAATTGTGAAAATTAACTACAACATTTCGTATGCCTGATACTCATTAACTATTATAAATTTAGATAGCTTTCTTCTGAAATAAGTTATTGTGATCTAAATATATTTGATTTGGAACTTCTGGGAACCTGAGACAAACAACTGGAAAATTCGAAAAGAGCCGATTCACCACTAAGAATATAGAAATCTGTGGAGTGTAGCAGTGTACAATTTCATGTTGACTGTTTACAATCAAGTCACTGATGAATGCACCTTGTAAACGAAATGAATTGAGAAAAAATAACTTCACCTCCACGCTACTGTGTAGCTAGTAAGATTTTTGATTGTGTATTCATAATGATGTTCATACAGAATCTGATAAAACGATTTGGCTTATCCCCTTTCTGAGGATATTATTAGTGAGCATTAATAATAAGTGAAGATAGATAAAACAGAGGTGATGAAGATTCCTAGCCAACATCAACAACAACAACAGACAACAATCAGCATAAATGGGAGGAACCTGAAAGAAACAACCTCCTTCACCTACCTGTGAAGCATCGTCTCAACTACAGGTGGATGGAACTGACGAGGATATCAAAGCCAGAATCGGAAAAGCAAGACAGGCTTTCATTACTCTCAAATCTGTGTGGAGGTCAACAGCACTCAGTATTAAAAATAACATCCGGATTTTCAACTCCAATGTGAAGTCAGTGCTACTTACAATACGGATCAGAGACTTGGCTAGCGTGTCATAAAGAGCATCTCAGACAAACTTCAGATCTTCACCAACAGTTGTCTTCGCTTAATACTTAAGATCAGATGGCCAGAAAAGATCAGCAACAGAGATCTCTGGGAGAAAACCAACACAGTAGGAACCGATTGTGAAACAAATAGGCAAGAAGAAATGGAGATGGATCGGCCATACTGTGAGGAAACCATCAAGTGACATCACCAGACAAGCTCTCGAGTGGAACCCGAAAGGGAAGCGACGAGTTGGTCGTCCAAGGATGACTTGGAGGAGGTCATGCGAGGAGGAGGTGAAAGCATGTGGACAGACCTGGAGCGGGGTGAAAAAGTTGTCAGAAAACAGAAGGCAATGGAGGTGCGCAGCTGAAGCCCTATGTTCCCCTAGGAACTAAAGGATGCAATAATAATAATATTTGCATGTTACATTTGCAAGGACAAAATGTTTGTGTAGAGAACAGATGGCTTTTAACTTTATTTTTCACAGAAATTGACTAAATAATAAAAATTGAATTACTTCCAGGCTTTCAGTGGTTATTTGTCTCATGCCAATCGGTAAAAATAGTTGCTGTGAAATTTTAAAATCACTGTTCATATGATTCAATTTTTGATTTTATTCAATTGCAAATGCTGAATTTTTCTTATCCACAGGTATAACCCGCAAACCCTCCAAAGTAGATGCAAGTAAGCATACAACTTTTTAAATATGAAATAGATAACACTATTAAAGAAGTGGTGTGCGTTGTTGGCACAGCGGCAGAATGCTCACCAACAACACAGGTAGTTTGGGGTTCGACCGCTAGCTGGCACACCCCTTCACCTCGCTAAGCCAGTAATGAGACTGGTAAAGAGTGAAGGTTAGGCATGAAGTTATCAACTCCATCACGTAAAAATAAATGCCACTGCTATCGAAGCTTCAAAGCTCTAGCTTGAAACCCCATGTCCCACTGAAAACGTAAAGGAATAAAAAAATTAAGGAAATAACTGAAAATAAATCAGATTATCTGGAATGCACGTAAACGGTGTACGCTTAATTGATGGTTTTTTCATAAAAACTATCGGACAACATCTGACCTTATCTACAATTATCGGACTTAAACTTCTGTGATTAAGTACAGAATAGGTCGTAAGAACGTTCAACTTAATATAACACTTTGAAAATACTAATAAATTTACACAAAAGTAGCCATGTGAAATACAGTTTCTAAAATCAAGTATCTTAAAGTATGAATTCAGGCTGAATCTTAGTAACCAGGTACAGTTATTTTTATTCATTGTGTTCTGAGTGAATCCCAGGGCTTCAAACTTTATGGTTTCAGTAGGGGTGGTATTATTTTTCCCCCTAACCTTCCCTCTTTCTCAGCTTAGTATCGGCAAGTGAAATAGGCGTGATTTTGGAGTGCCTTGGATGAGAATCGCATTCTGACCTTGAGCGTAGCTAGCGAGTACTCCATCACTGAAACACACCTACTACTATTCAGAATATCTGACATTATTCTGTGAACCCATTTTCCTGTCTCTAAAATCAAATTCTGATTATCTGCCGATCACATGATATGTTTTGCATTGTTAACGTCGTATACATGCGACGGCTTTATCCCATATGCTCGGAATTACAGCAGTGTATACGCGTAAAGTAACTAAGGTAGTACAAGCTTATAATTTTACTTTTATAGTAGCAGCAGTATCAAGGACTTCTGCGTTCGTAACTAAGTTTCAGTATACATCTTAAGCCAAACTGTATATATTGTTAATTAACACGATTTATAAACTGAAATCTAAATTGTAGGTTAGCCATTATTGTTAAGCTGATTAGCTGGTTCATAAGGTACCTTAAGGGTGCCTAAATAGTTTATAAGAAGCCGAAAACTAAAGATGTGCTCTCTTGCCTTATTCCATCGCTAAAAATACGTGTAAGGTTTCCAAAACAACACTTCATAACAGAAGAAGTAGAATCAGAATTTCCACAATAAGAAATGCCATGTGTGACCTGAAATTATCATAATCTATAATATTTCGAAACTATCCAAATGAACAATCAAAGTGAATACATTTCGCTACTTACTAAAACTTGTAGTAATAAGACCGTACAGTATTAATTTACTCCAGAAGTCGTGTAAAACCACGATTAGAAATTTTAAACACTATTAGGTTTGAAAATGGAAACATGGAAAAACTTTGTCCCTACATATTAGTTTGTTTATTAAATGTATCACACAGTGAAACAGTATTATTATTTACTGGATGACAAGGTTTCGAACAACATTTATTGTTCATAATCATATCAATTGTAATCACTCGACTTTGAGGCTTGAGTTTTAAAGTTTTCTTTGTTTTCTACTATTTGTCGTCCTAAGGGTAGTAGAATTTTCCAGATATTTGGGTGGACAGGCGTGAAATCATTCTCATTACACGTATTTGCGGTTGATTCGATGATGACGATAATAATAGTAGTGATAATCATCATAATAGTAATAATAATGGTAATATTAACGACGACACACATGTCAAACATGCGAAAGGCGATGATAACACCAACAATAAGGAAGCTAAATCAACAGTAGTAATTCCATACAAAGAAGGAACCTCGAAAACCTTACGCAGAATTCCTAACAAAGCAGAAATAAAACTGGCTGGCATTCAAACCATCCACAAACTCAATCAGAAACAAGCTTTGTCGGTGAAAGGTTGGATCCTGTGGAGCCTTTGAAACAAAACGATTGAGTTTGTCTATTACCCTGCAATGATTGTCAGGTCAAATACATTTGTCAAACTAGTCGAACAGGGGCAGTCAGACTAGCTGAACATAAAAACCTAAGAAAAGCTAGATTAGGTGACTGGAAAAAGATAAGAAATCTAGAGAATAGTTCAGCTATATCAATCACTACACGCAATTACACACAACCATACAATAAGATGGGATGGGATGACAGTTTTAAAATCTAATGTAACACCAGGGTGGAGGGAGAGATTGATAACAGAAGCTTTGTTTATCGAATCAGCTGCAAACACGTTTAATAGGAATGATTCAATACCTGTCCCAGATACCTGGAAAATTCCACTACCCATACGACGACAAACAGGAGAGAACAAAGAAAATTATGAAACTTAAGTTTCGAAGTTTTGTGATTATAATTGATGAGATGATTATTGACAATGAATAAATTTTGTTTGAAACCTTGTCATCCAGTAAATAATAATACTGTCTCACTGTGTGATACAGCTAATATACAAACTAATATGAAATTACTTACAATCACAGTGCCTAAGTTTTACACATGTATTAAAGGTTGTTGTTCTTATGTAAAATGTTAACTGAGAGTACACTACCACAGTTGAACCCAACTCTTCTAAATATTTCCTCCAACTAATAATTCAAATCATACTCGACTCTTTCTTAGTAATGTTGTTTTCTTCAGTATTTTATTTATGCAATTACTTGTATATTCTCCAAATTAAACTATCTAACGTAAAATTATATTTCTAATCCATTCATTAAGAAAAAGGAAAGGAAAATTCTGAACGTAAGTTGAAAGTGGTGTGAGGTATCTTAATAAATCTTTTAAATAATCATTGTATGCTTTTAATTATAGTCGATTTCAAAATTATTACCAGTTTTTGTCTTTGTGCATTAAATCTGTTAAATTTCAAAGAAACTTTTATTATGCACAGCATCAGTTTAAGTAGTCTGATATTGCATAAGATATTTTGAATCTTTGAATGACAGTAGCGCACAGTTTTTTGTTCTACCACTACGTTTTTCTAAATGGCATACTCTGTTAGGAATAATAATAATAATAATAGTCGTATTACTCCGTGGAATCTAAGGCTGTAATTTACACCGCACAATCGACAGTTAATTCATTTTCTTTATCTCTCTGTCGCCTCAAATTTTTAATTTAACCTCTACATTTTTATCCGGTTATTCTCGAAATATATCTAACATAAAGCAAATATTATAGAACTTTTAAAGATAACAATTCAAAATGAGACCCTTATATCATCAAAATTTATTACGTGAACAAAACATATATATACATATAGTTTATATAAAGTTTAACCAATCACTGAAAGTGTGATTTCGGTTTACATTAAACAACATGAAATAGAATGTTCAAAGACTATGTATATGTATATGTATCATTCTGTATCACACCACCACCCTAAGCTGAAGTAATCTTAAATTTATCAAGTTGACACTTTGTATATAATTCTGGTCAACCTAAAGATTAGCCACCATGGAGTGCGTATGCACTAATGGCCTTGAACATATTTTACTCACTGGGTTACAAAACCTGTCGTCATTACAGCGCCAGTATGAAATGTGTGCACGAACTGAGGTGCGAATTTCATCATGATCGCGTTTTAAAGTACTATTTGGACAATGGGTCGACAGGGCTTTGGGATTAGAGTTGTGATTAGAATTAGGATTAAGGTCTAGGTAATTATTAGGCTTAGGGTTAGGCTTTTTTTTAATTGTTTGCATTGTTGTTTATATACAGATAGATAAATATATGGATTTGACAGTTTTAAAACCTATAAAACATGAGTACTAACATTTAACATTGTAACTCGGATGTATTCACTTAGGCCGGGGTAAAATGTCATCTTTAATGTGTTTCATTATTATTATTATGCTGTACGACAACGGCATATGTCAAGTGATCCACAACGGAATACTCAGCGAGGCGTTTGGAGTAAGCACAGGAGTCAGACAAGGGTGCTTCTTATCACCAATGATATTCCTAACTGTAATGGACTGGATTATGCGTCAGAAAGTGGGAAACGAGAAGACAGGAATACGCTGGACCAACGTGAAGAACCTAGAAGACCTGGATTTCGCGGATGATTTATGTTTGATGTCACACACAATCGAAGACTTACAAGCGAAAACCAACAAACTGGTCGAAGAAGCAGCCGGCGAAGACAGGACTCCAGGTGAACATAGACAAGACGGAGGTTATGGAAATAACCAACCAACAACAACAACAATAACATCCAGCACCAGTCACCATCAGCGGGAGGTATTTGAAAGAGCATACTTCATTCACTTATCTAGGCAGCATTGTCTCAACTACAGGAAGTTGGAACGGACGAGGATGTCAAATCGAGCGAGAATCGATAAGGCAGGCGAGAAACACATTCATCAACCTGAAACCAATCTGGAAACCTTCGTCACTCAGCCAGAATCATCAACAAAATTCGGTTGAATTTTCAATACAAACAGCGTCAAGTCAGTCAGCTCTTCTATACGGATGAGAAACTTGGCGAGCGGGTCACAAAGATTATTTCCAACAGCCCATTGCAGACCATTATCAACAACTGTCTTCGCTGGGTCTAAACTGAAGATCAAATGGCCGGGCCAGCAAGAATCACCAATGAGAAGAAACTATGGCTGGGAAGAAACAAAACAAGAACCAGTCGCCAACCAACGAATATGCAAGAGAAAGTGGAGGTGGATTCGGCACTCACTGAAGAGGTCGCTGGGTGACATCGTAAGCGCGTCAGGCCATTGATCGAGTAGAACCAGGCCGAAAGCGAAGCGGCGAGTGGGACGTCAGTGCAAGGGTGAAATGGAGGAGATCGTGTGAAGAGGAGTTGAAACAGTATGGACTAACATGGTTGCGAGTGAAAAGTACAGCAAAAGGAAGACAGAAGCAAGTGTAGACGTGCAGTTGAATCCCTATGTTCCACTAGGAACTTAAGGGGACAGTAATAATAAATAATAATTATTATATTAATTTTACTCGTAATTAGACTGGTTTTTGATGTAGAATACACTAGAGGTTATGTAATTCATCTAATGGTGTGCCCTCAAGGTTATTGGTGCGTTAGCACTCCTTGGTAGTTGTTCTTTATGTTTGCATTTATTGCCGAATAACAGCTGGCTGAAATATCAATATACAACTCAAAAAATAGATTAATCAAAATAGGACAAAATTGTAGATTCATACGTTTTTATGACACTGATTTGTAGGGTTATGTAAAAATTTAAAACCCATGTTTTCTTCCGTTTACAGCGGATAGTGAAGAGGACGTAAAAATAGTTAAAAGTAAGTCTATCAAACCATCATTGCTATACAATGATAAATGAATGAAGGGGCTTCTCTTCCAAGAAGTGGAAGATCATATTTCATGGCAATACAATCATTGAATGCTATTGAATCGACATCTCACTGCTAAACTCTCTACGTACTGATATATATGTGCATTAATATAAAAAAGCGTTGGTGGCACAGAGGTAGATTACTCGCCAACCACTCAATTGGTTTGGGGTTCGATTGGCGACCGACAGGCTCCTTTACCTGGCCAAGCCAGTAATAGAACTGCCAAAGAGTTAAGGTTGGACACGAGGCTAGAAACCCCATCACGTATAATAAATATCACTGCTACCAAGGCTTCAAAGCTGTAGTCTGAAGCCCTATGTTCCACCGGGAATGTAAAGGAATCAAATGATAAATAATGATATTAAGAAATTTTGTATTTCTCTGTGAATCAAATTCAAAAGCATATAGTGTCGACTGTCGTTTTGCTGTATGACGCTCATAGATTTTCAAGCCTTTTCTTGTTGTGACTTGATTTGTATGATTTTGATCACGAATTAGTGTCAGTTAATGATTTGCTGAAAATTAGGCGGTACTGGACAACTCTTTTGTCCTACTTACTGACTCAGCATTACTAAGCACCCATAACTCAACCGGGAATTGGACGCAGGCTTTTCAGGTTATAAGGCAAGCTCGTGAATCACTCAGCCTGTTAGACAGAATCCAATGGTCCATCGATTCTAACTTCTTCAACATGAAGACCAGCAAAAGTTATGAGTGAGTATTTGTCCTCACACCCATACTAGTGGACCACCATTGGTCATAACTGATATTAATCCGTGATCACACTGAAAGCTAATAGCTTTATAGGACTGATATTACTTCTCTACAATACAATAGTTTAGTTCAATTTTCAACAGACATACTTTTCAATTTATAAGTTATTCAGTTATTATTTTGGAGTATGAAAATTTATACGGTATTTCTAATAATTGTTACTAATTAAAAGCTTTGTAGCAACTAATATGCCGTTACTGATTTATTTTCTAAAATTTAGAAATACGATGGAGGAAAATTAAAAAAAGTACGTGAAGTATTATACTTAAAAGATTCTCTCTATTAAATGCTCTTTTATGTGTGTAAACTGTATGGTAAATCATTCACAGAAGTAAGCACTCGACAATTCAGAGAAAAAAATTAATTACATTACAAAAACTTTAGAAATTATCTAAGTAGGCTCATATAAAACTTTACTTGAAAATAAGTAATTAACAATAATCACTTAGTTATCAGACTATATTATTTTCAAATCACTCACACTAAACAATCATCCCTCCTTTTTTAATTGATGGTTCTAGTTCGAGAACCAACCCAGAAACCAACCACTACCCGAGCTTCTGTGAGACGTGAGTCATGATCTTTTAAATTCTACTGTATTACATTTGATTTAATCAGAAAATTCAGCTTAAAACATCTCAGTGATAACAAATAAAAAACTACATAAAGTATGTATCAGTTGTAGAAAACGGTAAAAAGAATTACCAACACACAAATGTCAGCAAACATTATGCCAAAACAAACATTAAGTGAAAAGCAATGAAATCTATGGAAAATGAAGAATACGCATGAAGGTAAACTAAAGGGCAGTTGGGGGGAAATAAGGCCAACCTAAAGATTAGCGACCGTGGACTGTGAACAGAATGATGACATTAAAATCATACCATTCATTGTATCAGAGAACCTGGCGTTATTACAGCTCCACTACGAACTCTGTTCACGAAGTGATGTAACAATTTCATTTTGGTCATTGGTTTTAAGTACTTCTTGAGCAGTGGGTCGATAACACGTTAGGGTTACGATTAGTATTAGGCTTATGATTAGGATTGCAGCCAGGGCATTTTACTATCATTATTATCTGTACTTTTAGTGAAAATAAATAAATGGAAGGATAGTAAATCGTAGATCATATAGATGAAATCGTTTTCGTAGCCATTAAACATGGAAAGAATCACTCAAAATTGTCATTGCCTGTAGGATACACCGTATGGCTTGAAATCCAGCGGATGGTTTGCATGTAACGCTAATGGTACGCATGCATTCCGTGGTCGCTATTAATTAAAATAAACAGATTTAAAAAGTTTATAGGACTAAAACAACCATCACAGAAACGTTATCAATAAGACAAGGAACAATTCTAACAAACCTAAGAAAACTTAAGAGTGTTCGCCAAATCCTAGACGACAAAGAAAACATATGCCGAAAGAGGGGAAACGCATTATCAAGAAAAAAAAGAAATATGAAAAACAGTCAGCAAAACTACAGAAGCAAACGTTAAAAAATAAACCTAGGAAGAATAGATAAAAAATCCTTCGGAAAGTTCAGGTAGAAATTCATGAAAAAGACAATATACAAACACGCAAAAATAGCCAGCAAAAAAACTGACAGAAAACCTGATAATCTTTTCAAAGACATGAATTTCAAACACTCATGTAGTTGTAGTGTGGCTGCAGTGCATTCCCGTCGTCATCACTGTCATAACTGTTCATGACTCGACTGAAATTCTCACTCCTCCATTCGTAACACTGTCCGAACACGTCATCTCAACAAACAACATTATCCTTTCAGTTCCTCCCACCAGGGAAACTCAGGCGCCCAAACTCACCCTACCTGTCACCACAGACACGCACACTCGCCACTCAACGAGTCCACGTGAGTTCTACATCACCCCTCTAACCATGTGTTTTTCCTCTCTTGACAGCCACCACTGTGCCGCCCACTACTACGACCAGGACAACAAGGAGGCCTGTTCCCAGTGAGTTCAGTCATGAATTTTGTGAATTTTCAAAACCGATGAATAAGGGATAGAAATAGAGTTATAAATATTGGTTCACAACGACATGACACAAATGAGGCTGCGACTCTACCAAAATAACAGTGACCATACGAATGTCCCACGCCTCACTACTTTGAAGCATGAACCTCAACGTTTGTTGGAGGAAAGACTGCCTCGGTTCACAGTGGTCTCCACACACTTACACTCAAACATACACTGAAACTGACATATTGCCAGTAGAAGAATAGGTATCTCTACATGTAGTTATGGTTACTGTGTCGATGTGCATCACGTCAAGCTCTTTAGAGGGTGTGCACATCGATGTGCAGACCACGAGAACATTAATGGATCTTTTCCTCCTAAACTCCCTAGGTTAATGATAACTTTGTGTCAGTCGTTCAGACAGGCGCATATGACACAACACATCTACTCGACAATCTCACAGTGTTGTATCAACAGACCACATTGTTTTTGATTGTCATCACTGATGTTACTTGACAGGATAACTTTTCTCCACACCACACACATCCCTCTGCAGTCCTAATTTAGTACTTAGAAACCACGGTGAGTTCACCTGTTCGATCTCGCTGCTCGTACTCTCTTCAAACACACTGTCCTTCAGGTACGTCATGAAACTTCGTAAGACAAAGCCCGATGTTCGCGTGTGATTCCGAAAAGTTGAAAATATCTTCTCTGTTCCTGATTTCCTTCGTCTCTGTGACTCACTGTCGTGCAGATTTGTATGCAACTGTGGCTGACAGCCATTGGATGCAATTATAGATCGTGCAAATAGGTTTACATTGTGAATTCGGGGAGCCGCCTTTATGCGTGTGATGACTATTCATTAGTGTAATGCTTTCATTTCTGCATTTTTGATGTGTCGCCTTCAACATTTTGATTTTGATTTTGTGTCCGTTAAACCAGTTACCATTTCACAACAACTGCGGGCATTCATATATTTGAGTAATTCAAAGTGACATTCCGTTCAAAAAAACTGATGATGACGGTTAAATAAAATCCCTCATGTTGAACATTTTGAGGTAATAAGATGTTATTATTAATAAAGCGTCGGTGGTATAGCGGTTAGGACGCTCGCCGACCATGCGTGTGGTCCGGGGTTCGATTCCCGGCCGGCGCACTCCTTTACCTCACTGAGCCAGAAATAATGCTGGTAAAGAGGAACGGTTGGGCATGAGGTTAGCAACCCCATCCTGTAAAAATTAAACACTGCTACAGAAACTTCAAGGCACTAGCTTGAAGCCCTATGTTCCACTGGGAACGTGAAGGAAAAATTATTTATTATTAATTAATAAAGCTAATATGACTACGCACGAGAATAAATAGTCCGTCTCATTTCACGCGTAAGTTCACAGACTGAGTGAAGAGACTCACTGCTCCATCAGGCCATCACTTCAGTGAGAATCCTATTAGTGGTCAACACTCACGACTTCCATCAAACATAAACTTCAAACACGCATGAAGACGACCTGCTCAATATCTCTCAGCCTCTGTGTTTATTCTAAACCACCAATGGAATCTGCTACACATCATGACCTCGTGCACATGCGAAAGAGCCCTCCGATTATCAATCATCCTCGCGTCATTTCGAAAGTTCCATCAACACTTCTCACTGCCCGAGTCTCCTCCTACAACTCACCGAGTGTAGACATGGTGCTGATGCAGAGCACTTCCATCGCCATCACCGTCACAACTGCTGATGACTGGATTGAGATTCACACTACTCTTCCACTCAAAACACTCTCCGAGCACGCCATCTTAAGAAACATCATTATCCGTCTTATTCCTCCCACTCTTCTTCACATTACCAGTGCTCTTGCCTGGTCGACTACCTATCTGTAGCATCACGGGACACAGCACCAGGTAAATTCATGCACCACAAATCACTCAACCTGTCCCCACACACACTCACACTCGCCAATCAACGAGTCCACGTGAGTTCTTCACCACACCTCTAGCTCTGTGTTTTTCTTCTCTTCACAGCAACCACTGTGCCGCCAACTACTACTACGACCAGGACGACAAGGAGGTCTGTTCCAAGTGAGTTCAGCCGTGAATAATGCGAATTATTAAAATCCATGTGTGAGGGAGAGAAATAGTGTAAGAAGCAGTGTTTCACACCTACATGGTTTCTTATTAACTTCTAAACACAAACACTGTTACAGAGATAAAAAGCGTGCACACACACATTGTCATTTACAAAGTATTTCCGATTCGAGTAACCACATTCTTTCGGTGATAATAGTGACACTGAGATGTGATTCCGATTTATATCTTTCTCCACACATATAGAAATACATTACAACTCTGGAAATTTCATTTCCATTTCTCCAAGTGTATTGCTCATTTTTGAGTGTGAATTACCTCCAGAAAAGTTGTTCAGAATAGATGCATTCACGAGAGATAATTGTATTTTAAGAATAAGGACCTTCAAGTTGTCATATATTATCGAATTCTGAAATTTAGTCCATTTTTGTTAATGCGGAATTTGGAAACAGCCTACTGAGGTCACTAAGTCGCATTCAGTGATATAAACTATTGCAGTCAGATAAATCTCAACAAATCCAGGTTTAACGACTTCACAGAATATGACGAACTTTAAGGTTTTAGCTTTAAATCTCTTGAACTATTTGATCATATTGAATAAATAACTGGTTGTTGTGAACTCTTTGACTTTGTTACAGTACCTACAACCAGAAAATTCGTTCCCCGTAGAGTGATGAGAAGATGTAAGTCAAATGTTTACGAATGCACTTCGAAGCATAGATTAATAACTAATTATACCGCTGTAAACTTTATTGAGAGCTATCCCAGTACTTACTACTACAGTGTGTCGGAATCGACTACATTCACCCAAAATCACACTATAAAACATGCGTTGATCAAAAGTGTGTTAATCCAGATGGAAGTTTTGAAAGAATTTAGTGGGAATGAAGACACGAAAAGAAATTCAGATAGTCATTCGCGAATACGCCAACTCAAATCGAAAAATCTACGTGAGAATCGTATGGCCTACACTTGAAAAGTTGTAACACAGTGTTCTGTCCGGAAAGAGACAAACAGACTCTGAAGAAACGTGAATTATACATTCGAAGACAACAAGAAACGAAGAAAGATACTGACGATATGTTTGTCGATTCGTGTCACATGTGACTAGTCGATGGCGTGTAATATTGCTTATTGTGAGTAACTAAGGGAATGTTTGAAAAGACAAGGAAACATTTTAACTCTGAAGTGAGGAATGTGCAGAATGAAGCCGAAACCCTGAAAGAATAAAGCTTTACTATACTTTGATAACGAACAATGGTGTAAGTCTAGACATCGAAAGTGTTCCAAGTCTACTAGGAACTACAAAGTTACACGTGATCTGTTCCACGTGATTAAATTGTCACGCATATTCACTCCACTAATTTCTCATCTTTTTTTCCAGCGACGTATGAACCCTCTCCAAAACCAAGTAGGTCTTCTTTTCTCCGTCATTGTATTTAATATTTGTCTTACTGTCACTATACGAGTGTCTCTGTTATGTAAATACCTACACAATTTCGCATCCATGGGTAGCTCAAACTGATGCGGTTGGCAGTCGTTTGTGTGAGGGAAGTTCAGTGTGAATACAACGTACTTCATACGCTGAAACACCATCTGCCACCAAAAAGCCAAGGTGGATGAAATTTGCAGACACGATTGTGTGTGAACCACTCTGTGAAAGTAGAACTGATTGTCAAGGTCTCCTTCCACAATGAAACCGGTCTCATCTCGAATTCCCGAGTATCGTATTTCAATGATTGTTTTCTGAACATGTATGTCAGTCGTATGGGACAACTCAGATAGGACATGTCTGGTTGTTCCGTTCACAAAGCATTCACAACTCTTGTGAGAATTAGTGATGATACGACGTGATGGGAAATCAGTGATCTGAAGCATGGAAAGCATGGAATATAGAAAACGAGATTGGGCCACTGGAAACCAGTTGATTGATGTGGAGTTGCTGAATAAGTCAGGCTTTTCTACTTTCACTGGTCACAAAGGTCAGCGATTGGGATAATCAATACATTTCAATCGAAGGGTAAATGGTTACAATAAGTGTGAAATATGCAGCGACCCAGGTGAACGACCGCCGTAAAGAGCTTGACCAACCCACATCAACCAGTCAGATGAGGTTGAGGTAAAAACGTGTATTTTGAAAGTTCTTTTACTGGAAATCTAAGTAAGTGTTGAATAAATAGTTGTCCGAGGTAAATTTCAAGTATGCGTTCCAAGAATATCTCGCAGTTCCTTACGGGTGTCTTCAGTGACACTCCAAACCGAATTCTGCACACAGATTCATCCACATGACACTCTGTCATGCTGTTCGCTCATGTATTGACTGCTATGATCCCCCTTTCAAGTAATCTCCCAAACTCTCGATGCAGTTCGAGTGTGTCTCACCGGAAGGGTATCCAAATCATCTGTGTGATTTATTGTGTTGTGTGAGCGACCGAGAGAATAGTTGGCTATGACTACTCGATTGGTCCGTATGTACAGTAATCTAAGTAGCATTGAACGTTGGATGATAGTTAATATTGTGCTTACGCCACGATCAGATATTGCTCCCACATATCCCAGTACCTGTGTCTGATCGCCACTCATTCTCCAACGATTATATTTCACTTTATGAATACACCTTCATCAACGTGAACATCTACACCAAGATCACAGAATGCGTAAGTCATGTTGTTCACTTCCTAGGAAGTCATGTCCCTATTGTGCTGATACCAATGGACTGCAGATATCTGAAAACTTTCTGTCCCAGAAGTCGATGCGGTGACTGGTCTTTTTGAGTCCCACTTGTGGCGCATAATACGGAGTTTTGTTGATGAGACAACTTGCTCTGGAGATTTAAGTGCCTACAGCACCCAGAAAACTAAGTAGGGATACACATGCCTTCTCGGGTAGACTTTCTGAGACGCAAGTCTGGACATCTGTACACTTATCTACCAACATCGGCTACATATATTTGTGAAGACATCAATCCTCCACACCCACGTGTTTTACTGCTTCCAAAATGTTAATTATCCCCACAAGACTAACACAATAGCTCTTGATGGAAATTGCAGCGCAATTAGGTGTACTGCACCACAACTCACTCAACCTGTCTCCACACACACACACACACTCGCCACTCAACGAGTCCACGCGAGTTCTACATCACCCCTCTAGCCATGTGTTTTTCCTCTCTTGACAGCCACCACTGTGCCGCCCACTACTACGACCAGGACAACAAGGAGGCCTGTTCCGAGTGAGTTCAGTCATGAATTTTGTGAATTTTCAAAACCGTTTGTTAGGCGATTTAGATGGTGATAGCACATTGTTTCACATCAAAATGACACAAATGATGCTGTGAATAAAGCACAGTAACAGTGGCCATACCAAAGTCACACTCTTCACAAATTTGAAGCTTGATCTGCAACGTTTGTTGGAGGAATGACTGCTTCGGTTCACAATGATCGCCACACACACACACACACTCACACACTCAAACATAAACTGAAACTTACATACTGGCTAGTGGGAGAATAGAGATCTCCACCTGAAAATATGGTTAGTGTGCCGATGTGCATCACCTCGAGCTCTCTAGAGGGTCTGCACGTCGGTCTGCAGACCACAGGAACATGGACGGATCGTTTCCTCCTAAACTCCCTGAGATAATGACAACTTTGTGTTCATTTAGACAGGTGCATTGGACACAACACATCCACTCGACAATCTCACAGTGTTGTATCAACCAACCACATTGTTTCTGATTGTCATCAATGATGTTACTTGGTAGAATAACTTTTATGCACACTACACTTGTCTCTCTCTCTCTCTAGTCACAAAGTATTACTTAGCAACCACTGTGAGTTCACCTGTTTAATCTCTCTGCTCGTGCATTCTTGGAACACACTGTCCCTCAGGTACGTCATGAATCTTCGTAAGACAAAGCTCGATGTTCGCGTGTGATTCCGAACAATTGAAAGACGTTCCCTATATTCCTAATTTCCTACGTTGTTGTTACTGACTCTCGTATCGATTTGTATGCAAATACAGCTGACAGGGATTGAACGCAATTTAAACTCATGCAAATAATTTTATTTTGTGAATTTTGGGAAACCGCCTTTATGCTTGGAAAGACTATTCATCGGTGTCGATGTTTCCATTTTTGCATTTTCTATGTACTGCCTTCGACATTTTCATTTTGATTTTGTGTCTGTTAAACGGGTAACCATTTCACAACGGCTGAGGTCAATCATATATTTGAGTAATTCAAAGTGATATTCTGTTCCAAGTTAGTGATGATGACAATAAAACAAAACCCCTCATGTTGAACACTTTCAGGAAATAAGATATTATTAATCATTTACTTAATATGAAAATGCATGAGTAAAGATGGCCTGTAACATTTCACGGGATAATTCACAGAGTGGGTGACGAGACTCACTGCTTCATCAGGCCATCACTACATCGAGAATCCCACTGGTGGTCAACACCCACGACTTCCGTCCAACATGAATTGCAAACACTCATGAAGACGACCTGCTCAATATCTCTTGGCCTTTGTATTTATTCTACACTACCAGTGCATTCTGGTATGCAACATGGCCAAGTTCACGTTCGAGTCAGCCCTCCATTGTCACCCATACACGAGTCGTTCCGAAGTTCCGTCAGCGCTTCTCACTGACGGAGTCTCCTCTTTCAACTCACCGAGTGTATTTGTATTGCTGGTGCAGTGCAGTGCATTTCCATCGTCACCAAATTCACAACAGGTGATGACTCGACTGAGATTCACACTCCTCTTCCACTCGTAAAACTGTCCGAACACGTCATCTCAACAAACAACATTATCCGTCCAATACCTCCCACTCTTCTTCACATCGCCAGTACTGTTGACTAGTAAACTAGCTTTCTCTGGCGTCACGAGACCCATCACCAGACATATTCATGCACCCCAACTCACTCAACCTGTCCCCCTCGCCACACTCACACACACGCTCGCCGCTCAACCAGTCCACGTGAGTTGTCCATCACCCCTCAATCCATGTGTTTTTCCTCCCTTCACAGCCACCACTGTGCCGCCCACTACTACGACGAAGACTACGAGGAGGCCTGTTCCAAGTGAGTCCATCTTGAATTTTGTGAATTTTCAAAACCAACTAGTAGGCGAGAGAGATATTATTAGTAACATTGTTTCACACTGACACGACTTCTTACTCCCTTCTCAACTGAAACACTGTTACGCAGAAGACACACGTGCCCACACACACTCTCACATATTCTCATGTACAAAGTAATTCCGTTTCGAGTGAGCACAGTCTGTCGGTGACAACAATGACAGCGTGGTGTACTTACTGCAAGCCACTGAACTCCATGTTCTCTCGACATCAGAAGGCTTCTCAGCAACAAAAACAACAACAACCGTATTTAAGCGCACAACATCAACACGGTCAGCCAGTGATGAGATGCGTGCTCTGATCTCATCTGTGTGTTTGGGTGATGTGATGTCACTCGCCTCCCCTTTTCTTTGTCACAGGCGTTCTGCTCAGTGTTTCGGTTGGTTGGGATATGTGATTTCACCTGGACGCGCATTTGTGTTCATCGAAGCATATGTGGCCGTGAACATATTCGTGTATGTACAACGGGAACCATATTATTTGTCATGTAATTTATTGGAGACTTCTATGTGTTTCCTGCTCTACTGTACTCCTGTCGTAATCTTGTCGTATTTCGCTCTTACATGTTATTTATCTCGTGCATTTGCGAATTTCTTTCTCGTTCAACTGGTTTTCCACACTGGTTTTAAAATATCTCTGATATTCATTAATGATTTTCGGCTTGAGCTGTATTTCTCAGCGCAACATTGCGTCGCTTTCATTTTCTCGATGTCTGCATATAATGCGTTCGAGTTCTGGCGGCATTCGTTATTTTCATTTGTCCTCTTTTCAACCGTTTCCTACTAGTTGTCGCTTTTGCAGTTTCCCCTGTTGAATTAGGTTGTATTCGATCATCGCCTTTCTCAAAAGAGAATTATTTGGTCACTTCTATCTCAATTCCACTAGATCGCTAGCGCGAGAAATTTCACTATATCAGTTCACTTTTAGTTAATGTGGCACTCGAAAACAGCCTACTGAGGTCACTAAGTCGCATTCAGTGATATAAACTATTGCAGTCAGATAAATCTCAACAAATCCAGGTTTAACGACTTCACAGAATATGACGAACTTTAAGGTTTTAGCTTTAAATCTCTTGAACTATTTGATCATATTGAATAAATAACTGGTTGTTGTGAACTCTTTGACTTTGTTACAGTACCTACAACCAGAAAATTCGTTCCCCGTAGAGTGATGAGAAGATGTAAGTCAAATGTTTACGAATGCACTTCGAAGCATAGATTAATAACTAATTATACCGCTGTAAACTTTATTGAGAGCTATCCCAGTACTTACTACTACAGTGTGTCGGAATCGACTACATTCACCCAAAATCACACTATAAAACATGCGTTGATCAAAAGTGTGTTAATCCAGATGGAAGTTTTGAAAGAATTTAGTGGGAATGAAGACACGAAAAGAAATTCAGATAGTCATTCGCGAATACGCCAACTCAAATCGAAAAATCTACGTGAGAATCGTATGGCCTACACTTGAAAAGTTGTAACACAGTGTTCTGTCCGGAAAGAGACAAACAGACTCTGAAGAAACGTGAATTATACATTCGAAGACAACAAGAAACGAAGAAAGATACTGACGATATGTTTGTCGATTCGTGTCACATGTGACTAGTCGATGGCGTGTAATATTGCTTATTGTGAGTAACTAAGGGAATGTTTGAAAAGACAAGGAAACATTTTAACTCTGAAGTGAGGAATGTGCAGAATGAAGCCGAAACCCTGAAAGAATAAAGCTTTACTATACTTTGATAACGAACAATGGTGTAAGTCTAGACATCGAAAGTGTTCCAAGTCTACTAGGAACTACAAAGTTACACGTGATCTGTTCCACGTGATTAAATTGTCACGCATATTCACTCCACTAATTTCTCATCTTTTTTTCCAGCGACGTATGAACCCTCTCCAAAACCAAGTAGGTCTTCTTTTCTCCGTCATTGTATTTAATATTTGTCTTACTGTCACTATACGAGTGTCTCTGTTATGTAAATACCTACACAATTTCGCATCCATGGGTAGCTCAAACTGATGCGGTTGGCAGTCGTTTGTGTGAGGGAAGTTCAGTGTGAATACAACGTACTTCATACGCTGAAACACCATCTGCCACCAAAAAGCCAAGGTGGATGAAATTTGCAGACACGATTGTGTGTGAACCACTCTGTGAAAGTAGAACTGATTGTCAAGGTCTCCTTCCACAATGAAACCGGTCTCATCTCGAATTCCCGAGTATCGTATTTCAATGATTGTTTTCTGAACATGTATGTCAGTCGTATGGGACAACTCAGATAGGACATGTCTGGTTGTTCCGTTCACAAAGCATTCACAACTCTTGTGAGAATTAGTGATGATACGACGTGATGGGAAATCAGTGATCTGAAGCATGGAAAGCATGGAATATAGAAAACGAGATTGGGCCACTGGAAACCAGTTGATTGATGTGGAGTTGCTGAATAAGTCAGGCTTTTCTACTTTCACTGGTCACAAAGGTCAGCGATTGGGATAATCAATACATTTCAATCGAAGGGTAAATGGTTACAATAAGTGTGAAATATGCAGCGACCCAGGTGAACGACCGCCGTAAAGAGCTTGACCAACCCACATCAACCAGTCAGATGAGGTTGAGGTAAAAACGTGTATTTTGAAAGTTCTTTTACTGGAAATCTAAGTAAGTGTTGAATAAATAGTTGTCCGAGGTAAATTTCAAGTATGCGTTCCAAGAATATCTCGCAGTTCCTTACGGGTGTCTTCAGTGACACTCCAAACCGAATTCTGCACACAGATTCATCCACATGACACTCTGTCATGCTGTTCGCTCATGTATTGACTGCTATGATCCCCCTTTCAAGTAATCTCCCAAACTCTCGATGCAGTTCGAGTGTGTCTCACCGGAAGGGTATCCAAATCATCTGTGTGATTTATTGTGTTGTGTGAGCGACCGAGAGAATAGTTGGCTATGACTACTCGATTGGTCCGTATGTACAGTAATCTAAGTAGCATTGAACGTTGGATGATAGTTAATATTGTGCTTACGCCACGATCAGATATTGCTCCCACATATCCCAGTACCTGTGTCTGATCGCCACTCATTCTCCAACGATTATATTTCACTTTATGAATACACCTTCATCAACGTGAACATCTACACCAAGATCACAGAATGCGTAAGTCATGTTGTTCACTTCCTAGGAAGTCATGTCCCTATTGTGCTGATACCAATGGACTGCAGATATCTGAAAACTTTCTGTCCCAGAAGTCGATGCGGTGACTGGTCTTTTTGAGTCCCACTTGTGGCGCATAATACGGAGTTTTGTTGATGAGACAACTTGCTCTGGAGATTTAAGTGCCTACAGCACCCAGAAAACTAAGTAGGGATACACATGCCTTCTCGGGTAGACTTTCTGAGGCACAAGTCTGGACATCTGTACACTTATCTACCAACATCGGCTACATATATTTGTGAAGACATCAATCCTCCACACCCACGTGTTTTACTGCTTCCAAAATGTTAATTATCCCCACAAGACTAACACAATAGCTCTTGATGGAAATTGCAGCGCAATTAGGTGTACTGCACCACAACTCACTCAACCTGTCTCCACACACACACACACACTCGCCACTCAACGAGTCCACGCGAGTTCTACATCACCCCTCTAGCCATGTGTTTTTCCTCTCTTGACAGCCACCACTGTGCCGCCCACTACTACGACCAGGACAACAAGGAGGCCTGTTCCGAGTGAGTTCAGTCATGAATTTTGTGAATTTTCAAAACCGTTTGTTAGGCGATTTAGATGGTGATAGCACATTGTTTCACATCAAAATGACACAAATGATGCTGTGAATAAAGCACAGTAACAGTGGCCATACCAAAGTCACACTCTTCACAAATTTGAAGCTTGATCTGCAACGTTTGTTGGAGGAATGACTGCTTCGGTTCACAATGATCGCCACACACACACACACACTCACACACTCAAACATAAACTGAAACTTACATACTGGCTAGTGGGAGAATAGAGATCTCCACCTGAAAATATGGTTAGTGTGCCGATGTGCATCACCTCGAGCTCTCTAGAGGGTCTGCACGTCGGTCTGCAGACCACAGGAACATGGACGGATCGTTTCCTCCTAAACTCCCTGAGATAATGACAACTTTGTGTTCATTTAGACAGGTGCATTGGACACAACACATCCACTCGACAATCTCACAGTGTTGTATCAACCAACCACATTGTTTCTGATTGTCATCAATGATGTTACTTGGTAGAATAACTTTTATGCACACTACACTTGTCTCTCTCTCTCTCTAGTCACAAAGTATTACTTAGCAACCACTGTGAGTTCACCTGTTTAATCTCTCTGCTCGTGCATTCTTGGAACACACTGTCCCTCAGGTACGTCATGAATCTTCGTAAGACAAAGCTCGATGTTCGCGTGTGATTCCGAACAATTGAAAGACGTTCCCTATATTCCTAATTTCCTACGTTGTTGTTACTGACTCTCGTATCGATTTGTATGCAAATACAGCTGACAGGGATTGAACGCAATTTAAACTCATGCAAATAATTTTATTTTGTGAATTTTGGGAAACCGCCTTTATGCTTGGAAAGACTATTCATCGGTGTCGATGTTTCCATTTTTGCATTTTCTATGTACTGCCTTCGACATTTTCATTTTGATTTTGTGTCTGTTAAACGGGTAACCATTTCACAACGGCTGAGGTCAATCATATATTTGAGTAATTCAAAGTGATATTCTGTTCCAAGTTAGTGATGATGACAATAAAACAAAACCCCTCATGTTGAACACTTTCAGGAAATAAGATATTATTAATCATTTACTTAATATGAAAATGCATGAGTAAAGATGGCCTGTAACATTTCACGGGATAATTCACAGAGTGGGTGACGAGACTCACTGCTTCATCAGGCCATCACTACATCGAGAATCCCACTGGTGGTCAACACCCACGACTTCCGTCCAACATGAATTGCAAACACTCATGAAGACGACCTGCTCAATATCTCTTGGCCTTTGTATTTATTCTACACTACCAGTGCATTCTGGTATGCAACATGGCCAAGTTCACGTTCGAGTCAGCCCTCCATTGTCACCCATACACGAGTCGTTCCGAAGTTCCGTCAGCGCTTCTCACTGACGGAGTCTCCTCTTTCAACTCACCGAGTGTATTTGTATTGCTGGTGCAGTGCAGTGCATTTCCATCGTCACCAAATTCACAACAGGTGATGACTCGACTGAGATTCACACTCCTCTTCCACTCGTAAAACTGTCCGAACACGTCATCTCAACAAACAACATTATCCGTCCAATACCTCCCACTCTTCTTCACATCGCCAGTACTGTTGACTAGTAAACTAGCTTTCTCTGGCGTCACGAGACCCATCACCAGACATATTCATGCACCCCAACTCACTCAACCTGTCCACACACACACACTCACCACTCAACCAGTGCACGTGAGTTGTCCATCACCCTTTTAGCTATGTGTTTTTCCTCTCTTGACAGCCACCACTGTGCCGCCCACTACTACGACCAGGACAACAAGGAGGCCTGTTCCGAGTGAGTTCAGTCATGAATTTTGTGAATTTTCAAAACCGATTTATAAGGGATAGAAATAGTGTTATTAACATTGTGTCATACCAACACGTCTTCTCACTCTTTACTCAACACAAACACTGTTACGCAGATGACACACGTGCCCACACACACTCTCACATATTCTCATGTACAAAGTAATTCCGTTTCGAGTGGGCATAGTCTGTCGGTGACAACAATGACGGCGTGGTGTACTCGCACCTAGTCACTGGACTCCATGTTCTCTCGACATCAGGAGGCTTCTCAGCAACAAAAACAACAACAACCGTATTTAAGCGCACAACATCAACACGGTCAGCCAGTGATGAGATGCGTGCTCTGATCTCATCTGTGTGTTTGGGTGATGTGATGTCACTCGCCTCCCCTTTTCTTTGTCACAGGCGTTCTGCTCAGTGTTTCGGTTGGTTGGGATATGTGATTTCACCTGGACGCGCATTTGTGTTCATCGAAGCATATGTGGCCGTGAACATATTCGTGTATGTACAACGGGAACCATATTATTTGTCATGTAATTTATTGGAGACTTCTATGTGTTTCCTGCTCTACTGTACTCCTGTCGTAATCTTGTCGTATTTCGCTCTTACATGTTATTTATCTCGTGCATTTGCGAATTTCTTTCTCGTTCAACTGGTTTTCCACACTGGTTTTAAAATATCTCTGATATTCATTAATGATTTTCGGCTTGAGCTGTATTTCTCAGCGAAACATTGCGTCGCTTTCATTTTCTCGATGTTTGCATATAATGCGTTCGAGTTCTGGCGGCATTCGTTATTTTCATTTGTCCTCTTTTCAACCGTTTCCTACTAGTTGTCGCTTTTGCAGTTTCCCCTGTTGAATAAGGTTGTATTCGATCATCGCCTTTCTCAAAAGAGAATTATTTGGTCACTTCTATCTCAATTCCACTAGATCGCTAGCGCGAGAAATTTCACTATATCAGTTCACTTTTAGTTAATGTGGCACTCGAAAACAGCCTACTGAGGTCACTAAGTCGCATTCAGTGATATAAACTATTGCAGTCAGATAAATCTCAACAAATCCAGGTTTAACGACTTCACAGAATATGACGAACTTTAAGGTTTTAGTTTTAAATCTCTTGAACTATTTGATCATATTGAATAAATAACTGGTTGTTGTGAACTCTTTGACTTTGTTACAGTACCTACAACCAGAAAATTCGTTCCCCGTAGAGTGATGAGAAGATGTAAGTCAAATGTTTACGAATGCACTTCGAAGCATAGATTAATAACTAATTATACCGCTGTAAACTTTATTGAGAGCTATCCCAGTACTTACTACTACAGTGTGTCGGAATCGACTACATTCACCCAAAATCACACTATAAAACATGCGTTGATCAAAAGTGTGTTAATCCAGATGGAATTTGTGAAAGAATTTAGTGGGAATGAAGACACGAAAAGAAATTCAGATAGTCATTCGCGAATACGCCAACTCAAATCGAAAAATCTACGTGAGAATCGTATGGCCTACACTTGAAAAGTTGTAACACAGTGTTCTGTCCGGAAAGAGACAAACAGACTCTGAAGAAACGTGAATTATACATTCGAAGACAACAAGAAACGAAGAAAGATACTGACGATATGTTTGTCAATTCGTGTCATATGTGACTAGTCGATGGCGTGTAAAATTGCTTATTGTGAGTAATTAAGGGAATATTTGAACAGCTAGGGAAACATTTCAACGCCAAAGAGAGAATTATGTGGACTGAAGATGAAACGCCGAAAGTATGAATCTTTACTGTATTTCGCTAACGAACAACGGTGTAATTCTTGACATCGAAAGTGTTCCAAGTCTACTAGGAACTACACAGTTACACGTGATCTGTTCCACGTGATTAAATTGTCACGCATATTCACTCCACTAATTTCTCATCTTTTTTTCCAGCGACATATGGACCCTCTCCAAAACCAAGTAGGTCTTCTTTTCTCCGTCATTGTATTTAATATTTGTCTTACTGTCACTATACGAGTGTCTCTGTTATGTAAATACCTACACAATTTCGCATCCATGGGTAGTTCAAACTGATGCGGTTGGCAGTCGTTTATGTGAGGGAAGTTCAGTGTGAATACAACGTACTTCATACGCTGAAACACCATCTGCCACCAAAAAGCCAAGATGGATGAAATTTACAGACACGATTGTGTGTGAACCACTCTGTGAAAGTAGAACTGATTGTCAAGATCTCCTTCCACAATGAAACCGGTCTCATCTCGAATTCCCGAGTATCGTATTTCAACGATTGTTTTCTGAACATGTATGTCAGTCGTATGGGACAACTCAGATAGGACATGTCTGGTTGTTCCGTTCACAAAGCATTCACAACTCTTGTGAGAATTATTGATGATACGACGTGACGGGAAATCAGTGATCTGAAGCATGGAAAGCATGGAATATAGAAAACGAGATTGGGTCACTGGAAACCAGTTGATTGATGTGGAGTTGCTGAATAAGTCAGGCTTTTCTACTTTCACTGGTCACAAAGGTCAGCGATTGGGATAATCAATACATTTCAATCGAAGGGTAAATGGTTACAATAAGTGTGAAATATGTAGCGACCCAGGTGAACGACCGCCGTAAAGAGCTTGACCAACCCACATCAACCAGTCAGATGAGGTTGAGGTAAAAACGTGTATTTTGAAAGTTCTTTTACTGGAAATCTAAGTAAGTGTTGAATAAATAGTTGTCCGAGGTAAATTTCAAGTATGCGTTCCAAGAATATCTCGCAGTTCCTTACGGGTGTCTTCAGTGACACTCCAAACCGAATTCTGCACACAGATTCATCCACATGACACTCTGTCATGCTGTTCGCTCATGTATTGACTGCTATGATCCCCCTTTCAAGTAATCTCCCAAACTCTCGATGCAGTTCGAGTGTGTCTCACCGGAAGGGTATCCAAATCATCTGTGTGATTTATTGTGTTGTGTGAGCGACCGAGAGAATAGTTGGCTATGACTACTCGATTGGTCCGTATGTACAGTAATCTAGGTAGCATTGAACGTTGGATGATAGTTAATATTGTGCTTACGCCACGATCAGATATTGCTCCCACATATCCCAGTACCTTTGTCTGATCGCCACTCATTCTCCAACGATTATATTTCACTTTATGAATACAGCTTCATCAGTGTGAACATCTACACCAAGATCACAGAACGCGTAAGTCATGTTGTTCACTTCCTAGGAAGTCATGTCCCTATTGTGCTGATACCAATGGACTGCAGACATCTGAAAACTTTCTGTCCCAGAAGTCGATGCGGTGACTGGTCTTTTTGAGTCCCACTTGTGGCGCATAATACGGAGTTTTGTTGATGAGACGACTTGCTCTGGAGATTTAAGTGCCTACAGCACCCAGAAAACTAAGTAGGGATACACATGCCTTCTCGGGTAGACTTTCTGAGACGCAAGTCTGGACATCTGTACACACATCTACCAACATCGGCTACATATATTTGTGAAGACATCAATCCTCCACACCCACGTGTTTTACTGCTTCCAAAATGTTAATTATCCCCACAAGACTAACACAATAGCTCTTGATGGAAATTGCAGCGCAATTAGGTGTACTGCACCACAACTCACTCAACCTGTCTCCACACACACACACACACTCGCCACTCAACGAGTCCACGCGAGTTCTACATCACCCCTCTAGCCATGTGTTTTTCCTCTCTTGACAGCCACCACTGTGCCGCCCACTACTACGACCAGGACAACAAGGAGGCCTGTTCCGAGTGAGTTCAGTCATGAATTTTGTGAATTTTCAAAACCGTTTGTTAGGCGATTTAGATGGTGATAGCACATTGTTTCACATCAAAATGACACAAATGATGCTGTGAATAAAGCACAGTAACAGTGGCCATACCAAAGTCACACTCTTCACAAATTTGAAGCTTGATCTGCAACGTTTGTTGGAGGAATGACTGCTTCGGTTCACAATGATCGCCACACACACACACACACACACTCAAACATAAACTGAAACTTACATACTGGCTAGTGGGAGAATAGAGATCTCCACCTGAAAATATGGTTAGTGTGTCGATGTGCATCACCTCGAGCTCTCTAGAGGGTCTGCACATCGGTCTGCAGACCACAGGAACATGGACGGATCGTTTCCTCCTAAACTCCCTGAGATAATGACAACTTTGTGTTCATTTAGACAGGTGCATTGGACACAACACATCCACTCGACAATCTCACAGTGTTGTATCAACCAACCACATTGTTTCTGATTGTCATCAATGATGTTACTTGGTAGAATAACTTTTATGCACACTACACTTGTCTCTCTCTCTCTCTAGTCACAAAGTATTACTTAGCAACCACTGTGAGTTCACCTGTTTAATCTCTCTGCTCGTGCATTCTTGGAACACACTGTCCCTCAGGTACGTCATGAATCTTCGTAAGACAAAGCTCGATGTTCGCGTGTGATTCCGAACGGTTGAAAGACGTTTCCGATATTCGTGATTTCCTTCGTCTCTGTGGCTCACTGTCATGTGGATTTGTTTGCAACTACAACTGACACACGCTCAATTTGTTTCAAGTTCGTGTCTCGGTCAACTTTTCTCCACACACACACACACACTTTCGTTATGCAGCGTGTCGACGCGAGTTTTCTATCTCCCCTCGAGCCATGCGTTTTTGCTCTCTTCACAGCAACTATTGTCCCGCCAACTACTACTACGACGAAGACTACGAGGCGGCCTGTTCCAAGTGAGTCCCTCATGAATTTTGTGAATTTCATAATGATTATTAGGTGAGGGAGTTGGTGTTTAGGCACACTGTTTCACGCCGACACGTCTTCTCACTCTTTACTCAACACAAACACTGTTACGCAGATGACACACGTGCCCACACACACTCTCACATATTCTCATGTACAAAGTAATTCCGTTTCGAGTGGGCATAGTCTGTCGGTGACAACAATGACGGCGTGGTGTACTCGCACCTAGTCACTGGACTCCATGTTCTCTCGACATCAGGAGGCTTCTCAGCAACAGAGAAAGCAACAGCAGCAATGATATCAGTTAAACATAAAACGTTGACGTGTTCAACCAGTGATGAGATGGGTGCTGTGATTGTATCTGTGTGTTTTGGTCACGTGATGTCACTCGTGTCCCTTGTTGTCTATCTCACATGCTACGCTGGTTATTTTATGTTTTCTTCCTCCGCTGATTTATTTGTTTCATGTCTTTATCCTGTATATATTTTCTTTGTTGTTATTTTTTGTTGCCTGAGTTCGTTGTTTTAATGTTTATCCTATCGTGGGTTGAACTTTTTATTATCTCTTTTGTTGGTTTTTTCGCTTGTTTCTCCATTTTTTTGTTTTATTCCCATGAAATTGTATGTTTTTGCATTCATGTGGTTTCTTATCACAATTCATTTTGGTTTTCATTCCATCATATGGCTAAATATCTTGCAGGAATGATTTTTAAGTGATTATTCACGATCAGTTTTTTCTAGCTTTCACGAAAATCCCCTTTTTCATAATTCTTCATTTCAGTTCCATTCATTCCGAAGATAAATATTCGCAGAAATACCACTGAAGGTATGTTTTAAAAAGTTATATATTATACTATTCTGATACTGAGAGTATTTGTTTGATAGTTTGTTGTGTACTTGCTGAGTGGTTAATAGAATTTTCCCTGTCGCCAATTATGTTATGTACCCTTCGAGTAGTTAATAGTCCTGACGCGGAAAGAGGGAAATCAGAAGACCACTAGGTTTACGATGATACTTGTATTTTCCAGACAAGGAAATTAAGTGTCACATTAGTGTGTGTGGAAGGGTACTTAGACGTACGAAAAAGTGTGTGAACAATAAATATATATAAAGTTTACAATGCAAAGTATATATGAAAATGACTAATACACACGAACCAATAGACAGTCATCTTACCATGATTGTTTGTAATGTCATATGATAACAAGGTCATACATGTTTATTTAGTTAGTGGACATACAAAAGCATATTGTCAGTTATAATGGAATATCGATCTATATACACATTGCAAAATATAACAGACTGTCAAAAACAAACACACATCATGTGGGTACATATCATAGTTTTATTCACACTGATTGATTTATGCTACAAATCTAGAAATTTCATTTCGGTTTCTTAAAGTCTACTATGGAGTTTCGAGTGTAAACCTATCCCTAAGAAGTCGTTTTAGATGAGATAATGTTTGTAAACCTAACTGTATAGTTTTTTAATAGTGAAATCTATTAAATATTGTAGTTTATTATTTTGTTTAGTTTAGTTCATTATTTATCAACGTCTCACTTTAAATCGTTTTATTTCTGTCATCAGTTTGCATACAGTAACATTTAATATCAGTTAAACGATACTGAAGAAAGCGAGATTTATTAGTTGCATACATTGCAACCAAACTAAAATGTTTCGGCTATTAGCAAACAGAAATATTCTGAATTTCTGATAAATCTTTTCATTTGCGTGACTTGATGCTTGCATCTGAAAGAAGCACTTTATATATATATATATATATATATATATATATATATATATATATATATATAAGTTGAAATAACAGTCGGCGTGAACAAATAGTATTTCATATTAGTATAAGTCCCCACTTAACAGTAAAGAGTTGATTAAGCATTCACTGAGGGTAGTTTGAATATAGAAAATGTCACATTCGATCTGTCTAAGCCTAGTGGGCAAGAAATATTGAAAAATTAAAATCCGATCAAAATGGCATTATTAGTAAAGTCGCAATACGAAAATAAGTGATGGAAGAATATGCAGAAAAATAAGAGAGCATAAAATACCATAAGAATGCTAACGAGTATACAGAGAAAACTTATTTCAATGAATGAAGTAGCATTAAAAGTATTTCATTATATCAAATAACTAATTGCTTATTATAATCTCTTTTGCTTTATCACAGTGCCAGCAACCAGGAAATTCGTTCCTCGTAGACCGGTTAGAAGACGTAAGTTACAATTTTACGAATGATTTTTAAAAGCATACGTTTGTAAACTAACCAAATTTCTATAATGTTATTGAAAGCCATACAAACGCTAACCGCGATAGTGTGTAGTATATTCACTCTTTATGGGCTGACGGTATTGACGTTCGCGAATTATATGCTGTATACTAACGCAAGATCTTATACCAACAACTTCTATAGTATTCGTTTCTCGTGGACCAAAGGCAAAGCAAAAGACACGATTGATCGTCATAATTACGAGATATATTTCGGGATCAAATCATGGACTGAAGCGGAAGCTAAACTGGCTAGTGATCGTGCGCGAACGTGACACGACGGAGTACCAAATGGCCAGGATGCTTGACTGGAAGCCTTCAGCTAAACAAGTCGACTTAAACACTAAGCGTTAGCATCCAATGTTCTGTGATGGTTGCTGTGGTCAATAATTTTAGGGAGTTATTTACCTCTACAACTTAAATTCACAATGTAAACAGACATTGGCCTAAATTGTGTTAATTCAGATGAAAGTTACGGGATCATTTACTGTTAAACGAAAACATGGAAATAAAATAAACCTTAAGTAAACATTAATCATACTTCTATGGAGAATCAAAATACAAAAAAGAGATACGAACAAGAGGAAAGCCATAGCGATTATCTGTTAATTTAACATCACATAGGTGTTAAAATAAGTGGGAATCTTTAAAGGTAACCAGTCGTACTGAATACATTACTGGGCTATATGCGACCCCACTGCTGAAATCCTGTTCCAGTATTGAGGAAATTTTTAGTCAGGCAGTCAAATATCGGAGGGGAGGTGTTCAAAATAAAAAAGCCTCACTGGAAATAACCGCTAAGAAAGGAATACTTTGCTTGAAGACAAAACTTCAAAAGTCGAAAGCTGTGTTATTTTTTACTAACAACCTTAACGCTGTTGGTCTTGGCAAAGAGAATGTTCCACTTTTACCAGGGAGCCAGAAGCTCTACCATACTCGATCCAAGTAAATTAACATATCATATACATTCACTTTACTGATTTCTCTTCCTTTTTCCAGCAAGATATGGACCATATCCAATGCCAAGTATGTTTATTTTTCCCTCATCTCTTAAAGTAAATTTGTTTTACTTTGATTACACATGTGACTAATATAATGTCAACTCCTGCACAACTGTGCACCTTTGGGTGATTCCGTTTACGTAAAGGATACTGTTAATAAATTCAGTGTTCCTCACTTACTTACACACCCTCTGCCGTCAAAAGGTTAAGGCGCATACAATTTATGGACGCACTTGTGTGTGTGAAAATTATGCTGATTCCATAGGTCTCCTTACACAGTGACAACGTGTTCACCTCGAATTCCTGAGTATCAGATTTTAATGATTGGTTTCCGACTGTGTATCTCAGTCGAATGGAACAAATTAAATAGGGGATGTCGGGTTGTTCCGTTCACGGAGCATTCACAGCTCTTGTGTCATTTAGTGATGACCAGGCATGATGAGAATCAGTGATCTGTAGCATAGAAAGCATGGAATAGAGAAAGTGTTATTGGATTACTGGAAACCAGGTGAGTAAAATGGAGGTACTGAATAAGATACTCTTTATTCTTTTTACTAAACACGGAAGTCACCAAATGAGATAATGATAATGTGTCAACCGAAGGACGATTAATTAGTTACAGATAATCATCAATTTTTTGGGGGTGCTACATTAATTTGAGGCAACTTTTTCTGAATAACTAAACAGACGTCAGAAATCATACGGTATAAAGCTATTTGCTTCTTAGTCAAAGTAACTGTTATTCATATGAATACGTTTGAACAAAATGACAACTTTTAAAGTAACCTACCTTAGAAGTGACAATGAGAACAAGTGTCCGTCAACCTAACTTTATTGAAAGAATATGAGTCGTATATTAGTTAAAAGCTATTCGGTAGTCCGATAATGAGAGTTAGGCAACTCAGGAGTGTAATGTTTTACTGATAATGATCAAGAGAGATGAGAATATTGAGATCAACTGAAAAGTCTGATATCAGGAAACGAAAGCTGAGATAAAAAGCATAAATATTTATGCGCATGCAACTACAAGTCATATAATGATGAAGAAATCCGCGGATGACATAGAAATTCCGACTCTATATTCAGCCAGAAAAATCGAAATTGTGCACTTCATTTGGAAACAGCTGAATAAATACAGAATATTTTTACAGAAGTCCACAAAAAATCAGTAAGACATAATTGTCGTGTAATTTCAGTTCATCTTACTTTACTTTACTTCGGCTATCTCCTACAGGAGGATGAGCCGGCTTCATGATTCATGAAGTTTCATAGGAATTAGGTACGAGTGATGTCCCCAGCATCACTCGGCCTTTTGTATGAGAGGGCAGCTCTAGCCTTTACACAACCAAGTGTGACCTACAAGGCAGTAGGAGTGGAGTAGGGAGTCCACTATCCATTGGCAGCCGGTGACCGGAGTTCGGTTCATACGCCTTTGTGAATAGGGCCAGACATCCAGGGCATTCACTAAGCCCTTTGTCCATACGTCTGCCGGTGAGCTCCGGTCAGCTTCATACGCCAGTCGTTGGAGGTTTGGAATCATGGTTTAGCCATCTCCCCTAGACTGTCATCCAATGGACAGTCAACCCGGTGAAGAGCGCTGAGCATCCGCTTTTGCGCTCTCACTTTGGTGTAAAACACCTCCGCCACGTGAAGGCAGTGAGTAGGACTTCCTCAAGAGAGGCTATGTAAGACGCCCAGTCATATGGGAGCATTTCAAGAGGTGTACGGAGGAGTGGTCAACTCGCAGCGCAAGGCACCCACCCCCGACCATCCTGAGGCTTTGGAACATTATACCGATCGCTTTAAAATTCCGCCCCAAACAGCAAAATATAAAACCGCTAATAAAACACTAATCAATGAGTGTGTTTTTTATTTCTCATACATTGCATGCTTCATATTGACTTATCATATTGTCTTTCATTCTCTTTCGTTTGACAGTTGACTCTATACCAGTAGTCGCGATTCCACAACCTGTTATACAGCCAAGTAAGTTTTCTTATTCCTCTAACCAATGCAAAAGGAGGACATCGCATGTTTACCTTCGTAATAGATCTGTTAATGCATGAATGGACTGTTAATTAGCATTTCACTACACCCTTTATTTTGTTTATACGTATTATTCGAGTCACTTAGTTTTATTTTCTAAATTTTCTTTGTTTTTAGTTGAAACTTTACCTGCGTCACGTGTTTTCCATCCAATTGTGAATCGTACGTTTCCGTTGTGTCATTTTACCTCTCGTTTTCGTGTCTTGTTTGGTATATGTAGATTTATGTGTTTTAACTGCGACTTCATTGGCCTATTTTCTTAAGTTATAAGTGTCACCGGGGTATGTTCTGTAGAAACTTTTTCTAAATAATTGCTTCACTTCTCTACAGGGTTGTACAAATTGAACAGTATATGTTCTACCAACACATTAAAGATGTGTTTATTGTACTTTATAGGAGATGAACCCTAACGCCATTGTTGATCACGCTAATTTCGTTTTATTCCAGTCTTATCTTTGTGTAACACCTCAAAAAAGATACTCCGAAAACTTCACTTGACTATTTAGAAGACTTTCTATAGTTTGGTTTGTAAGGAATAGTTATGTTTTACGAGTTGATCACAGTTTGACATCAGTTAGAGAACCATTGAAAACTAGGGAGTACTGGACAGCTGCTGTTTCATCCTAGTTTGGGAATCATCGGCAGTGCGCACCCACTGGGGTTCAAACCCGGGACCTTCTGGTTACAAGGCAAGCTCGTATACCATTCAGCCACTGGGACCCGATTCAGTGGCCAGTACATGAATTCTAACTTCTACTAATTCGTGATTTAGAAGAGAAACTTAGAGGCATTATCAAATGTTCCACCTTTTTCAAAGCTGCATTGCACGTATTGTCTGTAGACTCATTCTTATCAGTTAACCGACTGATCTTATTAGAATGCATTCAGAGAAATACAGAAAATCGTTTCTTGCATTACAATTACGTATAAGATAAGGACTTCGAAAGATATTCTACTCCTGAATGGATTTCGTAGAAGGTTCATCAATTCGTGTATGATATCCGGTTACGAAATTTCAGTACATATAATTTTCAACCTATTGAGGACAGAAAGCAGCGTACGGTGCAGTGAAGGCCTAATGAGGTGATAAAAATGTAACCAATTCACATTTCACCATTTTATACGGCACCATTACACAATATTTTAATAATTTGTAATGAACAAACAGTCAGTCACACATTTCTTCATGCACATATATTTTCTGTGACTGCTATTATTTTACTAGTTAAATAAATAAATAGTTATGGTTGGAAAAATTAAAATCAAGAGATATTCGGTAATGACATATCTTATTTGTGGACATTATACTGCCAGTGTAGAATCATTCAGTATTGTAAATAAATAAGACGTGGAGAGATGCCTACGTCCGAAGTGTCATACCAGATCAAAATGTCAGAAGTTTCATTGTGATTAAGTAAAAGGTGGTTATTACACTTCTGCCGCAGAAACATTTATCAAGTTAGCTATCCCCACATATTCTCTTTCTTCAGAATACACTAGTACTTATATATGTATATATATCCTATAGTTATTATTGCTTTTAAAATAATATACTAATCTTGTCCACCGTAAAGTTGCGATATTTGGAGAAACGTTGAATGTTACGGCTCAATCCACAAAACGAGAAAAATGTTTAATTTCGTCTCCAGATGGTTCTGTTTTCACTGACTAAGGAAAAAAGCTGGCCAGTGTTCCCAAATTCAAACATATACGTAAAACTTAGATTTAAATATACACCACCAGAACAATGTTCATATGTATACAGCTTCATGCATAAACAAGACCAGTGAGATCCATCCAGATGTTAAGTGTGAGGATGGATGTCGCAGCTACGACAATGGTTGAGGTCACGCTAAATCACGAGTTGGTAGAAGTTAGAATTCATGTACTGGCCAATGAATCGGGTCCCAGTGGCTGAGTGGTATACGAGCTTGCCTTGTAACCAGAAGGTCCCGGGTTTGAACCCCAGTGGGTGCGTACTGCCAAAGATTCCCAAAACTAGGATAAAACAGCTGGCTGTCCAGTACTCCCTAGTTTTCAATGGTTCTCTAACTGATATCAATCTGTGATCAACTCGTAAAAACAAAACTAACACTTACAAACCAAAGTATAGAAAAAACAAATAAAACTAAAAAATGTAACAGAGACTGCAAAAAGGAAAGACGAACGAAAACAGAAAAGGCAGTGGAAATTTTCAACAATGATAATAATATTAAAATAGAAATAATAAATGTTTTCTTTCCTTTCACAGTGCACATAATGCCAGTAATTTCCTTCCAAAGATATGATTCGCAATCAAGTGAGTAAACAATTTTCAACTCAAAAACGTCTTTCGTTTTATTCTCGTGTTTTCACGTAGGTGTCTTTACTGCATGATAGATACAATGTACGATATAACTAAAAGTGATAAATTTAAGTGGATTTGAGATTTTCCCGTCGATTGATTGGACCGAAGTGCTCGGTCTCAGGTTGACATGTCGGCTTCTTGTGCAGATGCTTCAACGATGCCTGGGCATTTAGTTAGTATTTAGTAGTGGATGGTGACAAGCAGTGGCCCAAGTGGTCTAGTGGATAAAGCTTTGGCGTTTGAAGCTATGGACGATGGGCTCCCGCCTCGATGGGAACATCATCACTCATTGAGAAATGCAGGTACATCCAACTGAAGAATCCGAAAAAGGGGAAATATGAGTTCTAGATGTGATTGCCAGTCAAAATCCACCAAATAAAAGTGATAAATATTTAACAAAGTCATTGGAATTCGAGCAAAATAGGATTATCAAAACTATCAATGTGATCATTTCACATTACCCATTATAAACAAAACACATAGTGAAATCGTAATACAAAAGAAATAAAAAAGGAGATTAGAATGAAATTGAAAACTACTCGGAAAAATATCGTCTCATTATTCTTCATTCTTCACTAAGTCGCGTGTCTGACCACTTCGAAGCTTGATCAGCCGTAATCATCTATCTCTGTTGTGACGAAGCAATCCCGATGACGTGGACACTAGTCGGCGTTAGGCTGTGATTTAACATCTTGGGAATATTTTCCACATGTTCACTGCATTCGTGGTGTATTCGGTCGTGACATTCGTCGTTCAATCTCCTCCTCCCAGTGTTTGCAATAGTTGAGATGTGAAAAGACTTCTTCATTGTTCATTTCACTACTGAATTGTGGATGGAGTTGTTTGCATTTGACGTTGACACACTAATCCACCGAGATATTCATCACATATGAATGTAGCCAGTCGGTCGGGATTTTTCAGGACATGAAATCCAGTGGATTCAGTTGTTTCCACATTGTTCACTCTCTAATTGTTGAAGTAATTGTCGGAGGTGTTTCGGACAGCTGAGACAGATGGAAATGATTGTGAATGGGACACATGGATGGACAAAGCTAACTGTGTGTGTGTGTGTGTGAAAAGTGTGACATAGAAGAAGACGCCTGAGGTAGTCTTAACATCAACAGTTAGTTATTCACGCCTCCATTATCACATCATTGCATACACTTGATTTCCAGTAGTGATGAATAATTTTCCACTCGGTTGACTTGAGAACTCCTCGAGAACATTCGACATATGTTGACTTCAGTCCCCTGATTTTGTCTCTTTCTTTTTCTTTTTTCAGCGGGATATCGACATGTTCGCCAACCAGGTAGGTGATTTGTTTCCTCCTCAGTGAAATGTATTATTCCTCCGATTTCAATGTGATTGTGCGTTTGAGAGTTGTGCATAGAAGAAGTAGAAGAGTGAGAATATGCGAATACATTTGGGATTGTATGTAGATCCAATCAACAGTCACACAGACAGACAGACAGACAGACAGAGAGACAGACAGACAGACAGATAGACACTCAGGCAGGCACGCAGGCTGTCAACCAAGCAAACGGACAGACAGTCAGACTCTTATTTACCTTGTGGTTGTGGTTGTGTGTGTGTGTGTGTTTATCCGAATGAATTATTGTTTACGTTTGTCTTTTGTGTGTTTAAGTATGTGTGTGTGTGAGTGAGTGAGTGAGTGAGTGAGTTGCTGAGTGACTAAGTGAATGAGTGAGTGAGGACGAGCATGCGTTCGCCTTCGAACTGAGCTCAACACTGTGACATTCAGCAGTATCCACAGCATGCACTTGTTCACTGTGATTCAATTTGCCATTTCCATTCCCTCACAAGTTGAAATTCTCATTCCGATTAATCGAATTGTCTTTCTAACTTCTCCATTTGACAGTTGACATTGTGCCAGTAATCGCGGTTCCTCAACGATTTCCACAACGCAGTAAGTCATTAGTTTTCCAGTCGATCAAGTGTTTTCTTTTCATTTCGGTGTTTTCATGTCAATATGTGAATAAATAAATGCACAAATACGCCAATCAACCAACCGACAGGTTAGATAACAATCTGGTTCACGTGCTTCGAATTGATCGAGATTCTCGCATGTGTTTGTTGACATTGAACTCGCTGAAGTATTGATATGGATGTGGATGTTGTGAGACAGTATCTGCATTCATTTGAAATTTGTCTGTGTAGACTGTAACTGGCGTGTGACAGATTCCGAAAGGATACCCGACTTCTCCATGTTTTGTAGGGAAGGGATGAAATCCATAATCGGATGTGATTGACGACTAGGACATCTAGAGTCTCACTGGTTGTATCCGTCGTCATATTCACGTCAGCTGTTTGCACTTATCACTTACACCCAGGAGATGGACGGCGAATTCGAATTCCGTAGAAACACACCGGAGGCGTTTAGCGTATTCATCACATACACTCAGTCTTCATCTGTCCATATACACGTTAGCCAACACACGCACACACACACACACACAGACACAAATGTACTCACACCATGAAGCATTCTGAACAAAGGTGGGCTGAGGAAAGGAAGACAGAGTGGAAGTCAGGTGTTCAGTATCGATTGATTGATTTCATTGTCTGACAACTAACTGATTGATTGAATGTCTGCAATTTCTGTGTCTTTCTGCAGGACCAGTTTATCCGAAATTCGCTGTTCACAGGAGAGCTGAAAGACGTAAGTCACATTCATCGACAATCCAGTGCATTACATCACTTCCAAATTATTTCAATTCACTGACATTTAATTGTGCTTCTCTCAGTTTACTTTCATCTGAATAATATCGTCTCATTATTCTTCATTCTTCACTAAGTCGCGTGTCTGACCACTTCGAAGCTTGATCAGCCGTAATCATCTATCTCTGTTGTGACGAAGCAATCCCGATGACGTGGACACTAGTCGACGTTAGGCTGTGATTTAACATCTTGGGAATATTTTCCACATGTTCACTGCATTCGTGGTGTATTCGGTCGTGACATTCGTCGTTCAATCTCCTCCTCCCAGTGTTTGCAATAGTTGAGATGTGAAAAGACTTCTTCATTGTTCATTTCACTACTGAATTGTGGATGGAGTTGTTTGCATTTGACGTCGACACACTAATCCACCGAGATATTCATCACATATGAATGTAGCCAGTCGGTCGGGATTTTTCAGGACATGAAATCCAGTGGATTCAGTTGTTTCCACATTGTTCACTCTCTAATTGTTGAAGTAATTGTCGGAGGTGTTTCGGACAGCTGAGACAGATGGAAATGATTGTGAGTGGGACACATGGATGGACAAAGCTAACTGTGTGTGTGTGTGTGTGTGAAAAGTGTGACATAGAAGAAGACGCCTGAGGTAGTCTTAACATCAACAGTTAGTTATTCACGCCTCCATTATCACATCATTGCATACACTTGATTTCCAGTAGTGATGAATAATTTTCCACTCGGTTGACTTGAGAACTCCTCGAGAACATTCGACATATGTTGACTTCAGTCCCCTGATTTTGTCTCTTTCTTTTTCTTTTTTCAGCGGGATATCGACATGTTCGCCAACCAGGTAGGTGATTTGTTTCCTCCTCAGTGAAATGTATTATTCCTCCGATTTCAATGTGATTGTGCGTTTGAGAGTTGTGCATAGAAGAAGTAGAAGAGTGAGAATATGCGAATACATTTGGGATTGTATGTAGATCCAATCAACAGTCACACAGACAGACAGACAGACAGACAGAGAGACAGACAGACAGACAGATAGACACTCAGGCAGGCACGCAGGCTGTCAACCAAGCAAACGGACAGACAGTCAGACTCTTATTTACCTTGTGGTTGTGGTTGTGTGTGTGTGTGTGTTTATCCGAATGAATTATTGTTTACGTTTGTCTTTTGTGTGTTTAAGTATGTGTGTGTGTGTGAGTGAGTGAGTTGCTGAGTGACTAAGTGAATGAGTGAGTGAGGACGAGCATGCGTTCGCCTTCGAACTGAGCTCAACACTGTGACATTCAGCAGTATCCACAGCATGCACTTGTTCACTGTGATTCAATTTGCCATTTCCATTCCCTCACAAGTTGAAATTCTCATTCCGATTAATCGAATTGTCTTTCTAACTTCTCCATTTGACAGTTGACATTGTGCCAGTAATCGCGGTTCCTCAACGATTTCCACAACGCAGTAAGTCATTAGTTTTCCAGTCGATCAAGTGTTTTCTTTTCATTTCGGTGTTTTCATGTCAATATGTGAATAAATAAATGCACAAATACGCCAATCAACCAACCGACAGGTTAGATAACAATCTGGTTCACGTGCTTCGAATTGATCGAGATTCTCGCATGTGTTTGTTGACATTGAACTCGCTGAAGTATTGATATGGATGTGGATGTTGTGAGACAGTATCTGCATTCATTTGAAATTTGTCTGTGTAGACTGTAACTGGCGTGTGACAGATTCCGAAAGGATACCCGACTTCTCCATGTTTTGTAGGGAAGGGATGAAATCCATAATCGGATGTGATTGACGACTAGGACATCTAGAGTCTCACTGGTTGTATCCGTCGTCATATTCACGTCAGCTGTTTGCACTTATCACTTACACCCAGGAGATGGACGGCGAATTCGAATTCCGTAGAAACACACCGGAGGCGTTTAGCGTATTCATCACATACACTCAGTCTTCATCTGTCCATATACACGTTAGCCAACACACGCACACACACACACACACAGACACAAATGTACTCACACCATGAAGCATTCTGAACAAAGGTGGGCTGAGGAAAGGAAGACAGAGTGGAAGTCAGGTGTTCAGTATCGATTGATTGATTTCATTGTCTGACAACTAACTGATTGATTGAATGTCTGCAATTTCTGTGTCTTTCTGCAGGACCAGTTTATCCGAAATTCGCTGTTCACAGGAGAGCTGAAAGACGTAAGTCACATTCATCGACAATCCAGTGCATTACATCACTTCCAATTTATTTCAATTCACTGACATTTAATTGTGCTTCTCTCAGTTTACTTTCATCTGAATAATATCGTCTCATTATTCTTCATTCTTCACTAAGTCGCGTGTCTGACCACTTCGAAGCTTGATCAGCCGTAATCATCTATCTCTGTTGTGACGAAGCAATCCCGATGACGTGGACACTAGTCGGCGTTAGGCTGTGATTCAACATCTTGGGAATATTTTCCACATGTTCACTGCATTCGTGGTGTATTCGGTTGTGACATTCGTCGTTCAATCTCCTCCTCCCAGTGTTTGCAATAGTTGAGATGTGAAAAGACTTCTTCATTGTTCATTTCACTACTGAATTGTGGATGGAGTTGTTTGCATTTGACGTCGACACACTAATCCACCGAGATATTCATCACATATGAATGTAGCCAGTCGGTCGGGATTTTTCAGGACATGAAATCCAGTGGATTCAGTTGTTTCCACATTGTTCACTGTCTAATTGTTGAAGTAATTGTCGGAGGTGTTTCGGACAGCTGAGACAGATGGAAATGATTGTGAGTGGGACACATGGATGGACAAAGCTAACTGTGTGTGTGTGTGTGTGTGAAAAGTGTGACATAGAAGAAGACGCCTGAGGTAGTCTTAACATCAACAGTTAGTTATTCACGCCTCCATTATCACATCATTGCATACACTTGATTTCCAGTAGTGATGAATAATTTTCCACTCGGTTGACTTGAGAACTCCTCGAGAACATTCGACATATGTTGACTTCAGTCCCCTGATTTTGTCTCTTTCTTTTTCTTTTTTCAGCGGGATATCGACATGTTCGCCAACCAGGTAGGTGATTTGTTTCCTCCTCAGTGAAATGTATTATTCCTCCGATTTCAATGTGATTGTGCGTTTGAGAGTTGTGCATAGAAGAAGTAGAAGAGTGAGAATATGCGAATACATTTGGGATTGTATGTAGATCCAATCAACAGTCACACAGACAGACAGACAGACAGACAGAGACAGACAGACAGACAGATAGACACTCAGGCAGGCACGCAGGCTGTCAACCAAGCAAACGGACAGACAGTCAGACTCTTATTTACCTTGTGGTTGTGGTTGTGTGTGTGTGTGTGTTTATCCGAATGAATTATTGTTTACGTTTGTCTTTTGTGTGTTTAAGTATGTGTGTGTGTGTGAGTGAGTGAGTTGCTGAGTGACTAAGTGAATGAGTGAGTGAGGACGAGCATGCGTTCGCCTTCGAACTGAGCTCAACACTGTGACATTCAGCAGTATCCACAGCATGCACTTGTTCACTGTGATTCAATTTGCCATTTCCATTCCCTCACAAGTTGAAATTCTCATTCCGATTAATCGAATTGTCTTTCTAACTTCTCCATTTGACAGTTGACATTGTGCCAGTAATCGCGGTTCCTCAACGATTTCCACAACGCAGTAAGTCATTAGTTTTCCAGTCGATCAAGTGTTTTCTTTTCATTTCGGTGTTTTCATGTCAATATGTGAATAAATAAATGCACAAATACGCCAATCAACCAACCGACAGGTTAGATAACAATCTGGTTCACGTGCTTCGAATTGATCGAGATTCTCGCATGTGTTTGTTGACATTGAACTCGCTGAAGTATTGATATGGATGTGGATGTTGTGAGACAGTATCTGCATTCATTTGAAATTTGTCTGTGTAGACTGTAACTGGCGTGTGACAGATTCCGAAAGGATACCCGACTTCTCCATGTTTTGTAGGGAAGGGATGAAATCCATAATCGGATGTGATTGACGACTAGGACATCTAGAGTCTCACTGGTTGTATCCGTCGTCATATTCACGTCAGCTGTTTGCACTTATCACTTACACCCAGGAGATGGACGGCGAATTCGAATTCCGTAGAAACACACCGGAGGCGTTTAGCGTATTCATCACATACACTCAGTCTTCATCTGTCCATATACACGTTAGCCAACACACGCACACACACACACACACAGACACAAATGTACTCACACCATGAAGCATTCTGAACAAAGGTGGGCTGAGGAAAGGAAGACAGAGTGGAAGTCAGGTGTTCAGTATCGATTGATTGATTTCATTGTCTGACAACTAACTGATTGATTGAATGTCTGCAATTTCTGTGTCTTTCTGCAGGACCAGTTTATCCGAAATTCGCTGTTCACAGGAGAGCTGAAAGACGTAAGTCACATTCATCGACAATCCAGTGCATTACATCACTTCCAATTTATTTCAATTCACTGACATTTAATTGTGCTTCTCTCAGTTTACTTTCATCTGAATAATATCGTCTCATTATTCTTCATTCTTCACTAAGTCGCGTGTCTGACCACTTCGAAGCTTGATCAGCCGTAATCATCTATCTCTGTTGTGACGAAGCAATCCCGATGACGTGGACACTAGTCGACGTTAGGCTGTGATTTAACATCTTGGGAATATTTTCCACATGTTCACTGCATTCGTGGTGTATTCGGTCGTGACATTCGTCGTTCAATCTCCTCCTCCCAGTGTTTGCAATAGTTGAGATGTGAAAAGACTTCTTCATTGTTCATTTCACTACTGAATTGTGGATGGAGTTGTTTGCATTTGACGTCGACACACTAATCCACCGAGATATTCATCACATATGAATGTAGCCAGTCGGTCGGGATTTTTCAGGACATGAAATCCAGTGGATTCAGTTGTTTCCACATTGTTCACTCTCTAATTGTTGAAGTAATTGTCGGAGGTGTTTCGGACAGCTGAGACAGATGGAAATGATTGTGAGTGGGACACATGGATGGACAAAGCTAACTGTGTGTGTGTGTGTGTGTGAAAAGTGTGACATAGAAGAAGACGCCTGAGGTAGTCTTAACATCAACAGTTAGTTATTCACGCCTCCATTATCACATCATTGCATACACTTGATTTCCAGTAGTGATGAATAATTTTCCACTCGGTTGACTTGAGAACTCCTCGAGAACATTCGACATATGTTGACTTCAGTCCCCTGATTTTGTCTCTTTCTTTTTCTTTTTTCAGCGGGATATCGACATGTTCGCCAACCAGGTAGGTGATTTGTTTCCTCCTCAGTGAAATGTATTATTCCTCCGATTTCAATGTGATTGTGCGTTTGAGAGTTGTGCATAGAAGAAGTAGAAGAGTGAGAATATGCGAATACATTTGGGATTGTATGTAGATCCAATCAACAGTCACACAGACAGACAGACAGACAGACAGAGAGACAGACAGACAGACAGATAGACACTCAGGCAGGCACGCAGGCTGTCAACCAAGCAAACGGACAGACAGTCAGACTCTTATTTACCTTGTGGTTGTGGTTGTGTGTGTGTGTGTGTTTATCCGAATGAATTATTGTTTACGTTTGTCTTTTGTGTGTTTAAGTATGTGTGTGTGTGTGAGTGAGTGAGTTGCTGAGTGACTAAGTGAATGAGTGAGTGAGGACGAGCATGCGTTCGCCTTCGAACTGAGCTCAACACTGTGACATTCAGCAGTATCCACAGCATGCACTTGTTCACTGTGATTCAATTTGCCATTTCCATTCCCTCACAAGTTGAAATTCTCATTCCGATTAATCGAATTGTCTTTCTAACTTCTCCATTTGACAGTTGACATTGTGCCAGTAATCGCGGTTCCTCAACGATTTCCACAACGCAGTAAGTCATTAGTTTTCCAGTCGATCAAGTGTTTTCTTTTCATTTCGGTGTTTTCATGTCAATATGTGAATAAATAAATGCACAAATACGCCAATCAACCAACCGACAGGTTAGATAACAATCTGGTTCACGTGCTTCGAATTGATCGAGATTCTCGCATGTGTTTGTTGACATTGAACTCGCTGAAGTATTGATATGGATGTGGATGTTGTGAGACAGTATCTGCATTCATTTGAAATTTGTCTGTGTAGACTGTAACTGGCGTGTGACAGATTCCGAAAGGATACCCGACTTCTCCATGTTTTGTAGGGAAGGGATGAAATCCATAATCGGATGTGATTGACGACTAGGACATCTAGAGTCTCACTGGTTGTATCCGTCGTCATATTCACGTCAGCTGTTTGCACTTATCACTTACACCCAGGAGATGGACGGCGAATTCGAATTCCGTAGAAACACACCGGAGGCGTTTAGCGTATTCATCACATACACTCAGTCTTCATCTGTCCATATACACGTTAGCCAACACACGCACACACACACACACACAGACACAAATGTACTCACACCATGAAGCATTCTGAACAAAGGTGGGCTGAGGAAAGGAAGACAGAGTGGAAGTCAGGTGTTCAGTATCGATTGATTGATTTCATTGTCTGACAACTAACTGATTGATTGAATGTCTGCAATTTCTGTGTCTTTCTGCAGGACCAGTTTATCCGAAATTCGCTGTTCACAGGAGAGCTGAAAGACGTAAGTCACATTCATCGACAATCCAGTGCATTACATCACTTCCAATTTATTTCAATTCACTGACATTTAATTGTGCTTCTCTCAGTTTACTTTCATCTGAATAATATCGTCTCATTATTCTTCATTCTTCACTAAGTCGCGTGTCTGACCACTTCGAAGCTTGATCAGCCGTAATCATCTATCTCTGTTGTGACGAAGCAATCCCGATGACGTGGACACTAGTCGACGTTAGGCTGTGATTCAACATCTTGGGAATATTTTCCACATGTTCACTGCATTCGTGGTGTATTCGGTCGTGACATTCGTCGTTCAATCTCCTCCTCCCAGTGTTTGCAATAGTTGAGATGTGAAAAGACTTCTTCATTGTTCATTTCACTACTGAATTGTGGATGGAGTTGTTTGCATTTGACGTCGACACACTAATCCACCGAGATATTCATCACATATGAATGTAGCCAGTCGGTCGGGATTTTTCAGGACATGAAATCCAGTGGATTCAGTTGTTTCCACATTGTTCACTCTCTAATTGTTGAAGTAATTGTCGGAGGTGTTTCGGACAGCTGAGACAGATGGAAATGATTGTGAGTGGGACACATGGATGGACAAAGCTAACTGTGTGTGTGTGTGTGTGTGAAAAGTGTGACATAGAAGAAGACGCCTGAGGTAGTCTTAACATCAACAGTTAGTTATTCACGCCTCCATTATCACATCATTGCATACACTTGATTTCCAGTAGTGATGAATAATTTTCCACTCGGTTGACTTGAGAACTCCTCGAGAACATTCGACATATGTTGACTTCAGTCCCCTGATTTTGTCTCTTTCTTTTTCTTTTTTCAGCGGGATATCGACATGTTCGCCAACCAGGTAGGTGATTTGTTTCCTCCTCAGTGAAATGTATTATTCCTCCGATTTCAATGTGATTGTGCGTTTGAGAGTTGTGCATAGAAGAAGTAGAAGAGTGAGAATATGCGAATACATTTGGGATTGTATGTAGATCCAATCAACAGTCACACAGACAGACAGACAGACAGACAGAGAGACAGACAGACAGACAGATAGACACTCAGGCAGGCACGCAGGCTGTCAACCAAGCAAACGGACAGACAGTCAGACTCTTATTTACCTTGTGGTTGTGGTTGTGTGTGTGTGTGTGTTTATCCGAATGAATTATTGTTTACGTTTGTCTTTTGTGTGTTTAAGTATGTGTGTGTGTGTGAGTGAGTGAGTTGCTGAGTGACTAAGTGAATGAGTGAGTGAGGACGAGCATGCGTTCGCCTTCGAACTGAGCTCAACACTGTGACATTCAGCAGTATCCACAGCATGCACTTGTTCACTGTGATTCAATTTGCCATTTCCATTCCCTCACAAGTTGAAATTCTCATTCCGATTAATCGAATTGTCTTTCTAACTTCTCCATTTGACAGTTGACATTGTGCCAGTAATCGCGGTTCCTCAACGATTTCCACAACGCAGTAAGTCATTAGTTTTCCAGTCGATCAAGTGTTTTCTTTTCATTTCGGTGTTTTCATGTCAATATGTGAATAAATAAATGCACAAATACGCCAATCAACCAACCGACAGGTTAGATAACAATCTGGTTCACGTGCTTCGAATTGATCGAGATTCTCGCATGTGTTTGTTGACATTGAACTCGCTGAAGTATTGATATGGATGTGGATGTTGTGAGACAGTATCTGCATTCATTTGAAATTTGTCTGTGTAGACTGTAACTGGCGTGTGACAGATTCCGAAAGGATACCCGACTTCTCCATGTTTTGTAGGGAAGGGATGAAATCCATAATCGGATGTGATTGACGACTAGGACATCTAGAGTCTCACTGGTTGTATCCGTCGTCATATTCACGTCAGCTGTTTGCACTTATCACTTACACCCAGGAGATGGACGGCGAATTCGAATTCCGTAGAAACACACCGGAGGCGTTTAGCGTATTCATCACATACACTCAGTCTTCATCTGTCCATATACACGTTAGCCAACACACGCACACACACACACACACAGACACAAATGTACTCACACCATGAAGCATTCTGAACAAAGGTGGGCTGAGGAAAGGAAGACAGAGTGGAAGTCAGGTGTTCAGTATCGATTGATTGATTTCATTGTCTGACAACTAACTGATTGATTGAATGTCTGCAATTTCTGTGTCTTTCTGCAGGACCAGTTTATCCGAAATTCGCTGTTCACAGGAGAGCTGAAAGACGTAAGTCACATTCATCGACAATCCAGTGCATTACATCACTTCCAATTTATTTCAATTCACTGACATTTAATTGTGCTTCTCTCAGTTTACTTTCATCTGAATAATATCGTCTCATTATTCTTCATTCTTCACTAAGTCGCGTGTCTGACCACTTCGAAGCTTGATCAGCCGTAATCATCTATCTCTGTTGTGACGAAGCAATCCCGATGACGTGGACACTAGTCGACGTTAGGCTGTGATTCAACATCTTGGGAATATTTTCCACATGTTCACTGCATTCGTGGTGTATTCGGTCGTGACATTCGTCGTTCAATCTCCTCCTCCCAGTGTTTGCAATAGTTGAGATGTGAAAAGACTTCTTCATTGTTCATTTCACTACTGAATTGTGGATGGAGTTGTTTGCATTTGACGTCGACACACTAATCCACCGAGATATTCATCACATATGAATGTAGCCAGTCGGTCGGGATTTTTCAGGACATGAAATCCAGTGGATTCAGTTGTTTCCACATTGTTCACTCTCTAATTGTTGAAGTAATTGTCGGAGGTGTTTCGGACAGCTGAGACAGATGGAAATGATTGTGAGTGGGACACATGGATGGACAAAGCTAACTGTGTGTGTGTGTGTGTGTGAAAAGTGTGACATAGAAGAAGACGCCTGAGGTAGTCTTAACATCAACAGTTAGTTATTCACGCCTCCATTATCACATCATTGCATACACTTGATTTCCAGTAGTGATGAATAATTTTCCACTCGGTTGACTTGAGAACTCCTCGAGAACATTCGACATATGTTGACTTCAGTCCCCTGATTTTGTCTCTTTCTTTTTCTTTTTTCAGCGGGATATCGACATGTTCGCCAACCAGGTAGGTGATTTGTTTCCTCCTCAGTGAAATGTATTATTCCTCCGATTTCAATGTGATTGTGCGTTTGAGAGTTGTGCATAGAAGAAGTAGAAGAGTGAGAATATGCGAATACATTTGGGATTGTATGTAGATCCAATCAACAGTCACACAGACAGACAGACAGACAGACAGAGAGACAGACAGACAGACAGATAGACACTCAGGCAGGCACGCAGGCTGTCAACCAAGCAAACGGACAGACAGTCAGACTCTTATTTACCTTGTGGTTGTGGTTGTGTGTGTGTGTGTGTTTATCCGAATGAATTATTGTTTACGTTTGTCTTTTGTGTGTTTAAGTATGTGTGTGTGTGTGAGTGAGTGAGTTGCTGAGTGACTAAGTGAATGAGTGAGTGAGGACGAGCATGCGTTCGCCTTCGAACTGAGCTCAACACTGTGACATTCAGCAGTATCCACAGCATGCACTTGTTCACTGTGATTCAATTTGCCATTTCCATTCCCTCACAAGTTGAAATTCTCATTCCGATTAATCGAATTGTCTTTCTAACTTCTCCATTTGACAGTTGACATTGTGCCAGTAATCGCGGTTCCTCAACGATTTCCACAACGCAGTAAGTCATTAGTTTTCCAGTCGATCAAGTGTTTTCTTTTCATTTCGGTGTTTTCATGTCAATATGTGAATAAATAAATGCACAAATACGCCAATCAACCAACCGACAGGTTAGATAACAATCTGGTTCACGTGCTTCGAATTGATCGAGATTCTCGCATGTGTTTGTTGACATTGAACTCGCTGAAGTATTGATATGGATGTGGATGTTGTGAGACAGTATCTGCATTCATTTGAAATTTGTCTGTGTAGACTGTAACTGGCGTGTGACAGATTCCGAAAGGATACCCGACTTCTCCATGTTTTGTAGGGAAGGGATGAAATCCATAATCGGATGTGATTGACGACTAGGACATCTAGAGTCTCACTGGTTGTATCCGTCGTCATATTCACGTCAGCTGTTTGCACTTATCACTTACACCCAGGAGATGGACGGCGAATTCGAATTCCGTAGAAACACACCGGAGGCGTTTAGCGTATTCATCACATACACTCAGTCTTCATCTGTCCATATACACGTTAGCCAACACACGCACACACACACACACAGACACAAATGTACTCACACCATGAAGCATTCTGAACAAAGGTGGGCTGAGGAAAGGAAGACAGAGTGGAAGTCAGGTGTTCAGTATCGATTGATTGATTTCATTGTCTGACAACTAACTGATTGATTGAATGTCTGCAATTTCTGTGTCTTTCTGCAGGACCAGTTTATCCGAAATTCGCTGTTCACAGGAGAGCTGAAAGACGTAAGTCACATTCATCGACAATCCAGTGCATTACATCACTTCCAATTTATTTCAATTCACTGACATTTAATTGTGCTTCTCTCAGTTTACTTTCATCTGAATAATATCGTCTCATTATTCTTCATTCTTCACTAAGTCGCGTGTCTGACCACTTCGAAGCTTGATCAGCCGTAATCATCTATCTCTGTTGTGACGAAGCAATCCCGATGACGTGAACACTAGTCGACGTTAGGCTGTGATTCAACATCTTGGGAATATTTTCCACATGTTCACTGCATTCGTGGTGTATTCGGTCGTGACATTCGTCGTTCAATCTCCTCCTCCCAGTGTTTGCAATAGTTGAGATGTGAAAAGACTTCTTCATTGTTCATTTCACTACTGAATTGTGGATGGAGTTGTTTGCATTTGACGTCGACACACTAATCCACCGAGATATTCATCACATATGAATGTAGCCAGTCGGTCGGGATTTTTCAGGACATGAAATCCAGTGGATTCAGTTGTTTCCACATTGTTCACTCTCTAATTGTTGAAGTAATTGTCGGAGGTGTTTCGGACAGCTGAGACAGATGGAAATGATTGTGAGTGGGACACATGGATGGACAAAGCTAACTGTGTGTGTGTGTGTGTGTGAAAAGTGTGACATAGAAGAAGACGCCTGAGGTAGTCTTAACATCAACAGTTAGTTATTCACGCCTCCATTATCACATCATTGCATACACTTGATTTCCAGTAGTGATGAATAATTTTCCACTCGGTTGACTTGAGAACTCCTCGAGAACATTCGACATATGTTGACTTCAGTCCCCTGATTTTGTCTCTTTCTTTTTCTTTTTTCAGCGGGATATCGACATGTTCGCCAACCAGGTAGGTGATTTGTTTCCTCCTCAGTGAAATGTATTATTCCTCCGATTTCAATGTGATTGTGCGTTTGAGAGTTGTGCATAGAAGAAGTAGAAGAGTGAGAATATGCGAATACATTTGGGATTGTATGTAGATCCAATCAACAGTCACACAGACAGACAGACAGACAGACAGAGAGACAGACAGACAGACAGACAGATAGACACTCAGGCAGGCACGCAGGCTGTCAACCAAGCAAACGGACAGACAGTCAGACTCTTATTTACCTTGTGGTTGTGGTTGTGTGTGTGTGTGTGTTTATCCGAATGAATTATTGTTTACGTTTGTCTTTTGTGTGTTTAAGTATGTGTGTGTGTGTGAGTGAGTGAGTTGCTGAGTGACTAAGTGAATGAGTGAGTGAGGACGAGCATGCGTTCGCCTTCGAACTGAGCTCAACACTGTGACATTCAGCAGTATCCACAGCATGCACTTGTTCACTGTGATTCAATTTGCCATTTCCATTCCCTCACAAGTTGAAATTCTCATTCCGATTAATCGAATTGTCTTTCTAAATTCTCCATTTGACAGTTGACATTGTGCCAGTAATCGCGGTTCCTCAACGATTTCCACAACGCAGTAAGTCATTAGTTTTCCAGTCGATCAAGTGTTTTCTTTTCATTTCGGTGTTTTCATGTCAATATGTGAATAAATAAATGCACAAATACGCCAATCAACCAACCGACAGGTTAGATAACAATCTGGTTCACGTGCTTCGAATTGATCGAGATTCTCGCATGTGTTTGTTGACATTGAACTCGCTGAAGTATTGATATGGATGTGGATGTTGTGAGACAGTATCTGCATTCATTTGAAATTTGTCTGTGTAGACTGTAACTGGCGTGTGACAGATTCCGAAAGGATACCCGACTTCTCCATGTTTTGTAGGGAAGGGATGAAATCCATAATCGGATGTGATTGACGACTAGGACATCTAGAGTCTCACTGGTTGTATCCGTCGTCATATTCACGTCAGCTGTTTGCACTTATCACTTACACCCAGGAGATGGACGGCGAATTCGAATTCCGTAGAAACACACCGGAGGCGTTTAGCGTATTCATCACATACACTCAGTCTTCATCTGTCCATATACACGTTAGCCAACACACGCACACACACACACACAGACACAAATGTACTCACACCATGAAGCATTCTGAACAAAGGTGGGCTGAGGAAAGGAAGACAGAGTGGAAGTCAGGTGTTCAGTATCGATTGATTGATTTCATTGTCTGACAACTAACTGATTGATTGAATGTCTGCAATTTCTGTGTCTTTCTGCAGGACCAGTTTATCCGAAATTCGCTGTTCACAGGAGAGCTGAAAGACGTAAGTCACATTCATCGACAATCCAGTGCATTACATCACTTCCAATTTATTTCAATTCACTGACATTTAATTGTGCTTCTCTCAGTTTACTTTCATCTGAATAATATCGTCTCATTATTCTTCATTCTTCACTAAGTCGCGTGTCTGACCACTTCGAAGCTTGATCAGCCGTAATCATCTATCTCTGTTGTGACGAAGCAATCCCGATGACGTGGACACTAGTCGACGTTAGGCTGTGATTCAACATCTTGGGAATATTTTCCACATGTTCACTGCATTCGTGGTGTATTCGGTCGTGACATTCGTCGTTCAATCTCCTCCTCCCAGTGTTTGCAATAGTTGAGATGTGAAAAGACTTCTTCATTGTTCATTTCACTACTGAATTGTGGATGGAGTTTTTGCATATGTCATCGTCTCATTGACCGACATTATTGTTTATCAGTTTTGATTATACCGGTCTGTCTTGTTTTGTCAGGTCATGAAATCCGATAGATTCAATTTGCTTCACATTGTTCAACTTTTGTTTTCTAATTTAATATTTCCTTATCTTTTGATTTCTTCTGTTTGTTTTTATATGTGTTCTGTTTGTTATATTATTCTCTTCCTTTGTGTTTTTTCTTTGTTTGTTTTCTTTTTTATTTGTTTCTTCTTTTTCCTGCTGATTTGAATGCAGCCTTTTTTCTGTGCGGAATAATTTTTAGCCCTCCCCTATGTTTTTTTCTATATTTTTGCCGGTGTACTCTTAATTTTTATTTTACTGTTTTACATTCGACCTAAGTGTCATTCGTACCGTATCTGCGTTCTTGAACGAACTCTCTTGCATTCTGAAATTCGTCCTTTTTTCACTCTTTCCAGCAGTTAGATACGTGACCACTTCGCCATTCAGTCTCTTGATTGACTTCTTTTGGGTGTCTGTTGTATAGTTTTATCGGTTATTCGTTTATGGCTAACATCATGCGTCCAGTCCTTGTTTTGATGCAGACTGAATTCTATCAATCAATTTTGTCCATTTTTCCCTAGCAATCGTGTTTCGGTCAATTCACTTTTGTTTAATTTTAGAAAATTTTTCTTTGCTTTTTTCACAGGATATCCAGTAGTTCGTATTTCCAGACAGATCAATAGACGTAAGTTGTACATGTGATTGTCATGCCAAGTGACTCTTTTTGTTGATTATGATGCCTTCTGTCTGCTATAAGCTAAATTATCCCTCGCTTATTCATATTTTTAACTTTTTAAACTCAATAATTTGAATATCTTTATCACTTATTCAAAATAAGAATAATTAAGGTGAAAGTATTTTTTCACCAAATACATTACAACTGTACAGAGTGAAGTGGAAGGGACAGAGAACAATGGTGCCCTTTAATTATTCTTGTTTTTGAACTCTACTGATCCTCTGCTTATCTGACAATGCAAGGTGATACCACTAATTCGAATATATTCAGGAGTTTTTCCACCGCCTCTAAGATTTACATGGTTATTTAACAATAGTCTAAAAGAACATGCTTGAGTGACCTCTGATAATTCTGTGATTATTAAATGAGGAGACAAACAACGTAATTGGACTAGCAACAAGTCCACTGTGTATAGAGATCAATAGTTTATTCTAAGCCTCAAAGGAAAGCAAGAATAAATATGACAGAGTCTCTGTTTTGTAGAAGTCTAAGAGTTTCTTAATGTACACTCTGAATGTATCCACATACCAGATTTTTATACTTTTTTAGCATGCTTTGACATCTAGTACCTTGAATGCAACTAAGCGCTTTAGAAATTTTCATATGGCTCTTAATTTCATTTCATTTGAATTGCTTCACATCAAAAATATAAATCCATTCCAATACTAGGTGTGTGCTGGTTGTTTTCTCACCTGTAAAATGCTTTCTTCTAATTGTATTTTCATAGTGTGTGAATATTTCTGTCTGCCTGAATATTTCAAATCACTAAGTAGAATTATAAGCTTTCTACATGTGCACCGTCGATTACTGATGAAGTTTTTGTCACCCTTATTATTTTAGTTTCTGAATATTGAAAATCGACAATCTCATTGCTAATTTATCAGGTTTTCGTTCCATTATTTTAAAGAATGACATTCAAGCAGGGAAAAAATAGCATAATTGAGGAATGACAAATTTCTAACTTGAAATCCTAAATTCACACTATTTTCTGAGCATATATTTTACATTTTATTCAATCAAACATATACCGAGTATATGATGATATTAGACGGTTGGAGACAATCGGCAGGAAGCCTTCGACCTAGATTTTGTGTTAGTTGGCACTCATCAGCAGGGCTTATCTGAAACCCTGAAAGAAACTCATGTCCCTTCTGAGATTCTAATAAGCGTCACTCAGTGAGAATTGCAGTCAGAGACGTTACCACTGAGCTATTTGGGCTAGCGATTGACCTCCTGTAGGATTGTAGTGGATATTTTGATTGGACACTAATAACTAGTGTGATGCTTCTAGTCCTTTCTTCCTTTTTCTAATTCTTTCCTTTGGTGATCCGCGAGCCCGAATAGGTCAGTGGTAACATCTCTGACTGCAGTTCTCACTTGGTGACGCGGATTCAAATCTCAGAAGGGACATGAGTTCCTTTAAGGTTGCAGATACGCCTTGCTGATGAATGTCAACTAGCACGAAACCTAGGTGAGGCAAGGCTTCCTGCCGTTTGCCTCCAACCATCTGATATCATCAAATCAATGTGCATCGTGATGGTGACCTACCTAGAATGGTGGCCACATTACAAACCTGATTGATAAAATTCAGTCTGCACCAAAGAAAGGACTAGACAAATCACACTAGTTACTAGTGTCCAATCAAAATATACCAAGTATATTTTAAGTTTTTAGTTATTTTCTAAAGTAGCTTAAGGTGAAGTTAATCACAGATTGACCCATTAAATTTATGTGAAAACTGACGCACATGGTCCAGATGAGACTCACGGCCAACGTATTCCTAAACCTACCCTACTTTACTAGGCGGTGTTAACCTCGAAAAAAGAGGCAAGGTGAGGTGTGAGGTTAACACCCCTACCCAGTAAGAAAATACCACTCCTACTCAAACTTCTGGGTTCAGGCTTGAAGCCACATATTCCACTCGGAGATCAAATGAATCAAGAATCTGAAGATTTAGTTAGAGATTATATTCATATCACAAGCTTATTAGAATGGTATTTAATTTCAGGTTACTATGTTGATTCAATCACTTGCCTCTCTGACAAACAGACAAGCCTCAGTAGTTTCAATGCAAAGTGTTTTGTGTACATGAATACATGTATACATGAATATATTTATTACTGAATACGCTTTCTCTTTGCTTATCCTCTTTAGCTTCTGTAAGTTTGAACTTTCCAAAATGTGTATCTGTCAGTATTCCAGAATTCACCTAGAATTCAGCATACCTTATTTTAAGGTTTGAGTTTACGTTCATTTTGTATTATTTTGTTAATGCTTTTTGTGTTTTACAGCCTGAATTATGTTTTGATAATTTAATATTTGAAGCGTTTGACTTTATTTCATTTAAAGACATTTTTTCAAACATCTTTCCTCCTGGTCATGGTAATGTTCTGTCTAGTTAATTTCATTTAACTTTACCTTATCTTTGCTTTCACTGTCATAATTATAATTTCTGACATAACCTAACCGCCTTCCAGTCTCTTGATCCTAATTCACCTGCCTAATAATGTTTTCGTAATTCTGTAATTCACCTACTTCAATTCACTTCCTTCAGATATTTATTATATTTGGTTATTTTCATCAATAGGTATACCAACTGAGCAATCTTTATTACCACTTAACGCATTTTCATGTAATACAAGTTTTTTGTTTTGTCGTTTAATAATAGCGGTCTATTTTGAACAGATTTGTAAACATTGCATGATAAAGTTATCTTCCGTACACAGCTTTCAAAAAAAGCTCACATCTTCGTTTCAGATAAAAGATTTCTTGTTTTAGATTATGTAAGACTCTACCATAAAACAGATGCTTCTAATCATTAGAATTTTGGAAAGATTTCTAAATTGTAGTGTTCATCTCTTTTGTGGATTTTTAAACTCTTTGATGTACAAAACAGTAGCTATACCATAACCAACGCTTAGAAGTAGCGAAAGTTGAAATGATTAGCAGTGTGTGAAGACTTCTAAAGACAGACTACGAACACCTAAAACTTAAGCATATCTTGAGTTCGTATTAATATTAGTTTAGTGAACGATGAATTTTACCATAAATTAAACAGCTACAGGTTTTGCCATTCGGAGAGCCAATAGTATTCACTAACTGACAAGACAGTGGCCAAACTATCAACTTTTCAAGTTTGTTTGTAGGGGATCGGCTTGTGTTCCAATTTAATTACGTATTGAAATCATTTAGAAAACCATGGAAAATTAATTCTCAAAAGTAATTTTGTGAGGAAAATCATTCTGATGCTCGTTAGTGACTGGCTGCAGCCCAAAGTTCCCTGGAATTCTCAGAAGAAATCTTAACCAGTGAAGTCCAGCCGGTTGGGAGAGAGGACAAATGCTCGCCAATGAAACTGCTTACTGACAGTCGGCCTAAAATCATGAAATAGAAGTTAGAATTCATAGACCATTGAGTCAGGCCACAACCTGCCTTGTAACTGCAAGGTTCTAGGTTCGAAAGCCAGTGGGTGAGTGCCACCGATGAGTCCCAAACCAGGACGAAACATCCATCCAGTACTCCCTGGTTTTCAACGATTCTCCAACTGATATCAATCTGTGATCGAAATTGAGACAAACTAACAACTTTTTTCATTTAACTGAAAGTTAGTCACACTGGAAAAAGACTTTTTAAGTGTACAAATGCCATAGTATCTACCAGTGGCATAAACTAAGTACTGCAATCCGTTTTATTTTGTTTCTTTGGTAACGGTTCGATTTTTTCCAAGTTTCAGTAATTAATTATGACAGTTTTATCACCAGACTTTTTGTGGTCTTCAGCGCCTATCACTTTCCTATTGGGAACAGTCAACATTTTGCACAAATCTCTTTTTTAATATTTCGAAGTTTGTTTCCTTATTTATTTAATAACAAAAAACTGATGATAAATACCTTAGTGATGCATACTTTTTTTAAATAACTTTTAGGAAGAACGACATGCAGCAAGCCATGCATTCTATCATATATTGAACAAGGTTAGTCATATGTCTACTATGCACTTAATGGTCTACCTAATTAGTTTGAGATGAAAGTTTAAGGTTATTAAACTATAAACATTTGTAAAGTTAATTTTGGTTATTTAGTTATTTGAGCATGGAGTGTTCCAATCTTTAGGTTCCTGAAGCTTCTTTATTTTGATAAGCTTATTACCCCAATAAAAACTGTGATATATTTAGTAATCATCACTTCATTGATAGTGGGGTAGTGTGATACAGACAATGCGTTCCGACGGAATATTATTCTCACATATTAGCACAGTTCACTAATGCATTGGCAACATAATGCTATATATATTTAAATATCCTATTTCATGTCGTTTAATGTGAACCAAAATAACACTGTCAGTGATTAGTTAAATAATAATAAGCTGTATATATATATAAAGTGGTTTGATCGCTTGAAAATATGCCTTGGCTTTCTTGTCTTGCCCTCCACTGTTACAATAGAATATAAAAAACAGGCGGATATTACTGTAACTATTATAGTTATTAATACTCTATCACCATGTGTTGTATTGAATAAACTTATACTGTTCTGAATTATATTCAAGTAAATTACTCAAATTTTACTATTACAGTGATATTCATCGCCTTATTCATAACCAGAATGACAGTCTTTCCAAAGATAACGCCAGCAAAATTTTGTTTTATAAGTAGAATGAAATCATGATGAGGACAATAATATGTTTTCTAAAATGATAAATAGACTTCAGAAAAGATATAAACACCAGATCTTTTGTGACAATGAATGCTACTATACGGATCAGAGACTTGGCGAGTCATAAAGAGCATCTCAAACAAACTTCAAACCTTCATTAACAACTGTCTCCGCTCAATACTCAAGATCAGATGGCCAGAAAAGATCAGCAACAGGGATCTCTGGGAGCGAACCAATCAGGAACCGATTGTGAAACAAATAGGCAGAAAGAAATGGAGATGGATTGGCCATACGCTGAGGAAACCATCAAGTGACATCACTAGACAAGCCCTCGAGTGAAACCCGAAAGGGAAGCGGCGAGTTGGTCGTCAGTGCAAGGGTGACTTGGAGGAGGTCATGCGAGGAGGAGATGAAAGCATGTGGACAGACCTGGAGCAGGGTGAAAAAGTTGTCAGAAAACCGAAGTCAATGGAGGTGCGCAGCTGAAGCCCTATGTTCCTCTTAGAACTAAAGGATACAATAATAATAATAATGACCTAGATTTCACTGAATACTTCTCTATATGTGTACATATATATATATATATATATATATATATATATATATATATATCTACTTTACACCATATTTTCAATTTTCAGTTACACGTACAACTAGCAAACCCTGAAAGAGAATATAAGGATACAAGGAAGGTGGGTGTTTAAATTACTTTACTTATTATATATGCTAAAATGACATTACATGTCTTATGTAGTACACACTGTTTAGTTCCCCGACTGATGTTGACTTAACATAGTGAATAATTTGGATAAGGTTAAGGCAATTTAACTGTAATGAACTTTTTCAAAAATTGGTAATCTTATACTTGACGTAAAGCACAGTTTTGAATGCACCCATTCAGAAGATACCACGAATAGAGTAAAGTATTTATCAAATGTCCTGGCTTTTTTTCCTTTTAAAACTAATCAAACCTGAAAAACTGCAGCTGACAGATGATGCTTTTTAGCCCGTTAACCTCAGTGTAAATTATGATTTTCTATCTCTTAGCTTGAAGTTTATCTTAACTGAGTATTATAAAAAGGTTCTCAAGTTCCGCATGAGTAAAATGAAAAGTACTCTTAGTGGTTTTTAAGGCTGAAGCCCTATTGAAAGCCGAATTCTTACTATTACTGTTCCTAAATCATTCAGAAGTGTTTACGAGGTAAGTACACAGATTCAATAAATGAAACAAAAAGTGGACAAAGAGTGGACAGTCAACCATTGGTTGCGTAATGGTTTTGTGTGGCTCATAGTAGTGAAGACTGAAACCCAGGATCTCCGTTTTACCCTATCTCGGAGTTGTCAGTTAGACAGACCTACGTCCCCCCAGTAGGTTACAGTGTTCTCACTGAGATTCGAGCCCATAACTCATCCTTTCAAGATCTAAGATGTTGTTTATTTAGGCTACTAGGCCAAGATAGCTACCTCGTCTACAACGGTTTTATTGGACTTTTTTCTCAGCCATTATCGACCAGGTAAAACCTTGTTAACCACAATGTATCATCGAATTATCTGTACTAGAAGTCAGTAAGTCAACAGGCTCCAAGTAATTCACTCCAACATAATCAATCACTGGGGAATTCAGAATATTAATTCCAACATGTAATAACTCTGATAACTTTTACTTTTACGAGGATTTGGACTTAAATATGTGCGCGAATGAAAAAATGTAAAATTCAAACACACAGACACAATACCCGTTATTATATGCCATTAATTGCATCAATCCTAGATATGAACAGTATTAGAGTACTAGTTACCAGAAAGAGATGCAAGTGTTAATAGACTTATCATCTTTTTTCCATATATACGCCCATGCACACCTCTTAGATTTCGCTGTAGTGGTTGAAGTAATCCTGGCAGTTTTGAGTAGGTAGGTGTGTTGTAAACTATTCATAAAAAATTATATCAGTCCACTAGAAATTAACTATTTCCTTAACTGGTCAAAGGTTATTAACTGCTGTTTTTGACTAGCATTTTATAATTATTATAATGGAAGTGAGGTCTATTAACTAATGTGCTTATTATTATTATTATCATCACTACAGTATATTGTGCTCAGACAACATGAACGTCCAAACGCCGTAAGTTCATTTAAAATCAATAATTTACACTACACCATATTTGAATCGCTTATCCTTTCTTAACGTGTTCATATGAATAACAACTTCATTATACTTAATATACTTTTAACATCTTTAACTGTGAAGAGACTAGCGATGGGTTGTACATTTTTCCCCAGTCATTCTAGATATTTAGGAAAGACCCTCTATTGATTATTGAAGCTTTTGAAAGAACTTAGGGAATATTTCTCATCATCGATATAAAAATGTTTACCCTTCTGAAATAAGTTCATCAGATTTCCTTTCACACTAGTCACCTTACTAACACTCCACAATATGCTTGATTAGTCATGAAGAATCTGATAGTTGGCGATGAAGAAAGTCACTCATTTTTGTTTTATTCTTCGAAATTTTGAAGTTTTTACTTACCAACCAACCCTGAAAGCATTTTGGCGGGTTACATCTTGTAAAACTCAGATAATATCTTTCTAAACTACAGTATCAAGTTACATTTCCTATGAAATATTACATACCTTATAGATAAAGAAACCACGGTCTTAAATTTTGTGATAGTAATATAAAAATCAATAAAATGGATGTACAATTTCAATTTGAAAACTTTTATGCTCAGATTGGAGAATTTATGCCTTCATCAAATGAGGAGGTTAACAGATTTAAGGCAACTTTGGTCGATTGTTGTTACAGATACATGATTAGTAGAGGTAATACACAGGCTATTTTAACCAAAAACATCACGAGACTTTAAAGAAACTGAAAGCAAATGATAATATAGTGACTTCCAGGCCTGACAAAGATACAGGATTCGTTATCATATATAAGTCTGTTATAAGTTATCATATAAGTCTGATTACCTTAACAAAATGGGGACTTTATTGAGTGGTGCACACAAATTTCAGAAACTGTCAACAGTTAAGAGAGTCTTCAAAAAAATTTGAAACACCAAGGCTACGTTTCACCCGCCTTGTATGAAACACTAAAACCAGTCGGCACGGTGACGCCTTGGTTCTACGGTTTACCAAAGATTCACAAAAACGGCTTGCCACTTAAACCGGTCCTCAACATGTCTAGCCCATCAAAGCATTCAACTGCGAAATGTTTGGTGGAAAGTTTACAGCCTTTGCATAAGCAACTTGTGTGCGTCGGACTCTCGCCGACCATCCATATGGTCTGGGGTTCGATCCCCTGCCAACGCACACCTGATGTCTATGGTTGGCCTGAAAAATTTGGGCTACCGATATCACATGCTGAAAATACCATACTTGTTCAAAAAAATTCTGTGTAGAATCAAGCTGTAATCAAAATCAAATCAAAAGATAGTTTTGTGTTTGCAGAAATAATCAAGGAATTAAATGTGAATGATAAATAAATGATACCATACAAACGTAGTCTGGTTAGATGTCTATTTCACTGGGCTAGAGTTTACTGTGCAAATGAGATACTGAACGAAGATCTCAGTAATATTGGCGATCTACTAAGTAGAAACAATTTTACGACTAAATTGGTGAACAATCACCTGAACTTAGAAAGTAAAAAGTCGAAGGTGCCGACTGTTAAAAAAAGATTCAGTCTTCCTAAGATTACAATTTACTGGTGATGTAAATAGTGAGATCTTATCACAGTATCTGAGATGGGTACTCGAAAGGACCTTCAACTGAGCTAAGCTGATCTGTATACTCACTAGCCAACCAATACTTGTTTTTTTATAAACTATAATGACAAATTTCAGTTCTTATTAAATAGCACGCACTTTGTAGATAAAGAAACCTTTCTTTGTTTTTGACTGAAATCACTTAAAGCACCATAGAAAAGCGTTATGTGGGTTAATTTAAAGTATCGTAATCTACTATTCCATCAGCGACATATCTTTCATAAATAACTATCTGCAGTATGAGAACAAAATTAGTTTATTGTTTTTAATTACAAGTGTGCGTCGGTGGCACAGTGGTTAGGACTCTCACCGACCATGTACATAGTCCGAGATTCGATCCCCTGCCAACGCACCCCTGATATCTATGGTCGGCCTGCAAAATTTGGGCTACCTATATCACATGCTAAAAATTCCACACCTGTACCAAAAAGTACGGTGTGGAATCAAGCTGTAATCAAAAATAAATAAATAAAAGCTTTTTATGACATCAGTAACACTTAATTCTGCAGGTAATACAAATGACTCAAGAAATAGTTTCAATAGCTTTGTTTTCTCATTTTCCCACATACATATATCTACTAAATGACTCATTCAGAAGAGCTGACATTGGTTAGTGAACCACCAGAAAGCCTGGGAGTAATGGACAGCTGTTTCGTCCTCGTTTGGGACTCTTCACATTACGCACCCACTGGACGAAACAGTTGTCTTGGAACTCCCTCGATTTCCAATGCTTGGTTCTCTAACTGATGTCAGCTCATGATGAAATCCTGTAACCAATCAGTCAAATCTCTACAAACCAAAACTTCAATATCATTCAGGAGAGTTACCTAAGTAGATTAACATTGTATGTTTACATGAGTTACATGATGGGAAGAAACAACTGAACTGTGTAAAGTAGTTCTTAAGTATTCTGCCTGTGTTTTAAAGAAAATAAAACTGAATTCTGTCTTTTTAAAAGATATGCAGTTGCCTTTGAATCAGGTTAGCGATTCAGTTTGTCATAGTGTTCTGTACGAAAAGGTAACATAAATCAGTAGGATTGGAAGTATTAAAAAAAAATCAATATTCTATCAGCTTGAAAAGAAAGATCGACTAATGTAACTGGATAATTTGAGCTTATTGTTTTAATCTATTCATGGATTCTTCTCAACTGATTACAAAAATATAAACTATCAAAGGGGATTTGAATTTCCTTATCCACTTGATGACAAGGTGTAATTGATGGGGACTATAAGTCCTCTGAGTGTTTCATCTGAACGTCACTCACCTTACTCCTTTGCGTTATTTTGTTAGAAACATATTCACCTTAGTTACATGACATGTCAAACCTTGCTTTAACCCAAAATTTTGAACTGTCTTCCTTCAAAAATATTCATTTCTTTTCATATTAGTTTATTTATTAGATGTATCACACAATGAAACAGTATTATTATTTACTGGATGACGTGTCCAACAAAATTTATTGTTCACAATCGTCTCATCAGTTATAATCACACGACTTCGAAACTTGAGTTTTATAGTTTTCTTTGTTCTCTCCCATTTGTCGTTGTTGGGGTAGTAGAATTTTCCAGATATCTGGGTGGACAGCTGTTGAATCATTCCTATTACACGTATTTGCAGTTGGTTCGATAAACAAGGCTTCTGTTACCAATTTCTCCCTCTACCCTCTGACATTAGATTTTAAAAATGTCATCCTATCCCATCCTATTGTATGCATAGTTTTGTGTAGCTGCATGTAGCGCTATAGTTGACCTATTCTCTCGATTTCTTATCTTATTCGGGTCAACTGATCTAGATTTTGCTAGGTTTTTATGTTCGGCTAGTCTGACTGATCCTGTTCTACTACTTCGACCTATTTATTTTACCTAATGATCATTAAAGGCAGGATGTTATACAAACAAAGCTTGTTTCTAATTGAGTATGTGGGTTTGAATGCCACTTTTATTCCTGCCTTGTTAAGGTTTCCGAGGTTTCTTCTTTGTATGGAATTACTGCTGATGATTTAGATTCCTTATTGTTGGTATTGTCATTGTCTTGCGCACGTTTGACATGCATGTTATTATTATTATCACTGCTATCATTATTTATTTTATTTTTATTTTTACATTTCCCTACATACTTTCTGACTAATTTATCAAAGTAATTATTAAGTTTCAAAGCTTCTCTTATATGCTTCAATTCCTGTCTTGGATTCTCTTTGGTACTACTTAGTTTTTGTGCTCTATCACTTAAACATTTCATCAGTCGTATTCTAACTGACATAAGATGGGATGATCGGAAGTTCAAATATCTCTGAAGGGAGAAATTGATAACAGAAGTTTTGTTTATCGAATCAACTGCAAACACATGTCATAGGAATGATTCAACAATTGTCCACCCAGATACCTGGAAAATTCTACTGCCCCTACGACGACAAATAGGAGAAAACAAAGAAAACTATAAAAATCAAGTTTCGAAGTCGTGTGATTATAACTGATGAGATGATTATGAACAATAAATTTTGTTCGAAACTTTGTCATTCAGTATATAATACTGTCTCACTGTGTGATACATCTAATAAACAAACTAATATGGAATTACTTACTACCACAGTGCCCAAGTTTTACAAATATAATATCCACTTCTTTTAACTAACTATAACTTTACAACTTACGTTATTTTTTACTTGTTTTGATTACAGCTTGATTCCACACCGTATTTTTGGTACAAGTATGAAATTTTCAGCATGGATATTGGTAGCCCAAATTTTGCAGGTCGACCATTGATATCAGGTGTGCGTTGGCAGGGGATCGAACCTCGGACCGTGTGTAGGGTTGGCGAGAGTCCTAACCACTGTGCCACCGACGCACATGATTCCTATAAATTATTCTATATTATTTCGGAAAGAGTACATTCCAAATGTTTTTGTATTGTTCAAGTTTTATTCAATGGAGAAAAATCCCTAAAATAGTAAAAAATAACTAACGGGCGCATCTTATCCTAATACAGTTGTCATTCTTGCTTCGTTTAATTTTACTAGTATGAAGTTTTTAAAGGAAATATGAGCTGAAAACCTTGCAAACAACCAATAAATATCTCATACTGATCTTATTTTCCCAACAAAATAATGAAACGACATAGTTAGATTACGTATACACCTTATCTTCAACACACCATTTGCTCGGATCTTCGTGTTGTGGTACTTATGGACTTCATGTTGTGTTTCTTTGTGTTCCTTTCACGACTCCCATGTATCTCAACAACGCTGTATCATTTGCCTTCTCTGACATCGAGCCTATCTCCCTGCTATTTGATATTTTTATGCCGATGAATGTCTCCTTGTATACTACTGATAAAGCTTATCAGTAGCACTCGCCACATTCAGAATTTAGTGTTTCATAATAATCAAAACACTTGCACTGCATATTATATGCATATAATGCATTGAGTAAAAGTTAAATATGTTTTGTATTATGGTATTTCCTCTGACATCTTCCGTAGTCTGTATGTTGAGAATCTGACAGTGGTGCTTCTTTGTATGTTCACAACCTTTTGAAAATTTTAGTAACATATTTTTTTCTCATCTTTTTTATTAACAATATAAAAACGTAAATTACAGATCTATTCATATGGAGACAACGTGATTAAAGTTGGTGGGCTTCATCCAGTAAGTTCATGAAAAGGTATTTTTTTATGCTTTTACTACCACTAAAATACGTAGTCCCTGACTAATAATTGTTATATACAAAAATAATGGATTGAACTTTTATACACAATTTTTAATTTAAATCACATATTTGTTTGACAAATAATAACACAAGGTAGTATGGATTTCTTCAAATTGCTGTTAGTTGCTGATATAAATGGGCTTGCCAATGTGCTTTGTTCGAATGTGCGTTTATCGTTCGATAAAAGAGTTCAGCAGAAAGTGGAATTATTGAATGCTATAACTTTGATATATTCCTTATTACTGACTGCAGTTTACAATAACCTGTGGTCCTTTAAAACACATTATTATTTGCTATTATTGTCTTCTCTAGTTCCTAGAGGAGCATAGAGCTACAGCTACACGCCTTCATTACTTTGTGTTCTCTTCAAAAGTTTTAAACTGGCTCCACGTCTGCCCACATGTGTTCATCTCCTCTTCTCATGACCTTCTTCATGTCACCCTCGCACTGACTACGAACTCAACGCTTGTCATTCAGATTCCCCTCGAGTAATGGCCTGACTTGTGATATCACTTAGGTATTTTCATATGATTCTATTGTTGCTTTCAAAGATTAAAAGCATTTGTACATGTCAGAGATGGCTCTGTATCACGAAGAGAAGTCAGAATTCACAAGTTATTCGATTTGGATTCAGTGACCAAATAGCCAGAGAGCTGACCTCTTAACTTCACGGTTCTTGGTTTAATCTTTGGTGGGGTTATAGACACACTGCTGAAAAGTCCCTAGTTTTCAATGATTCACTAAATAATTTCTGTTTATGAGGACATCTACGTTGACTTGTGCATTTTATATCGTCATCATAAGTGTTAAAATTAATTTCAATACAGTCAGTCAATACGTTTACTCGCTGTTTCTATGTTGTTGATACGCCTTAAATTTTTATTTTTCTCTTACAGTTTATGTGAAGTTCAGCGTTTTCAACATCCAAGTCTGAATACTGTATTACTGAACATTTGAACTCAGCTTAATCTTAAATATATTCCTGGATAATAATACGTTGTGTTTTTGATTATATAATCCATTCGCAGAAACAGAAAGTGCTAAAATTTTGTAGTATGTTGTTTACTTAATAAAGCGGATTGATGTGAAGTATCTTAATGAATGACATTTTGCTCACCAATTTTCGCCCATAATCACAACAGATCAATACATTATACTTGAGACGCCATCCAGCAGACGCACGTTTTTGAGAATAACAAATCAAAAGTAGAATAACATTTTACTTTAATTTAGTGCCTAGGTCTTTTTAGTATTAACAGTATACAGTGAAATGATGGCCTGGTCCTCAACTGGTTCACATATCGGAGCTGGTAGGAGGCCCGTCTGGTGAGTGGAAGACCACTAATTCGAATCTTTCAGCGTGTTTTATCTCCATTTCATATTTAGTTATCATTCATGACATTGATCATAATATTTCAAAAGTGAATAGTGGTCATTCTTGACCCGGGAGGCTTTAAAATAAGTACTCGGGTGGCAATATTGAACGACGAATATTCAAACAATTAAAGCTAACATGAATTTCCAAGAGTTCATGGATTCACGTCCTTGACAAATAACAACAAGTACGACATCCAGTCCCAGATCTGCCTGTCTCAAACTTGAGGTATCACAATGCGAAGGAATTATCGAAAGTGGATTAGAAAATCCGAGTTACACAAATTACGATAACATTAATTTATTACTAAGTTACTATTAAATTGGCAAATGTTGACAAAACAATAGCGGATTGACAGTATTTCCGACTAGTTATGACTTGCCAAACATCCCAGCTTGAGTAACTACCACTATCAGATTCGGAAGTCTAGGAGGCATCAAATGATTTTCAAAATTGTCGTAGACTACATATCTTCTCTCTTCAAAACCTTTTTCTCTGTTGAGTTTAAGCAACTTTATTTTTGAGCGTGACTGCATATTTTCACAAGTGGTTTCCTCGTAAATAAGCATAGTTCGCTTAATTTTTTATCTTTGTTAGGATAAAGGGACTCCACAGGCAGTCGCATTAAAAAGTGGTTGGTAATCAAATTACTGACAAACCACTCAGAGGGCATGTTAAGGGACTAAAAGAAGCTTTTTGTGTGAATATTCAAAAAATACCAAAATAAACAATGAGAAGGTAGCAGAATTTCAAGGCGTATTTGCAAAAATATTAGTCTGAATAGTCTTTTCACTTATCTTCTCATCTTGGGACCGAATGACATCTGTCCGAATCTCAGAAGGAATATTATTTTTCTGAAAGTTGCCAGTAGCATGACAGGCACAAAAAGGAATCTTATGACATCCTGACAGCTAACTACTAATGAACGATAATCATTTGATTATGTTGAAATTTTCAATTATTGGTTTTGTAGCAATTTTGTTTGATTAGTTGGAGGGTTTCATCATGAGCTGACATCAGTTAAAGAACCACTGGAAAACCTGCGAGTACTCGACAGCTAGTAGTAAGTCGTGACCAGTAGCGTACAGCAGGTTGAAGGTGAAGCAGTAACTCATCGAAGAAGACATCGCGAAGTGGTTGTCCTATGTCATGAATTGGCAGAAGTAAGAATTTACGGGCTACCCATTGGATCAGGTCACAATAGCTTAATAGTGTACTAACTCAATCTGTAAATGGAAGCTTTCGGGTTCGAACCCAGCAGTATGGATGCGTACTGTCAAAGAGTCCTACAGAGCTACTACGAAACAGATGTCCAGTGCTCCCGGGTTTTCCAATGGTTCTCTAACCGATATCAGCTCAAGGTGAAATCCTCCAACTTATAATGAAATTGTCAATCATGCAAACTATTTTAACAACGGAAATCTACTGTGATTGAACTTACTTGACTTTTTGCATTTAAAATAAAATTGCAATCTCTTAGACAGAATTAACTTCTTTCCATAAAGTCTTCTAGATAAGCAGCAAAATGATTTCGGTGACCTGATAATTCCTTACTTGAAATGTAATCCATGAAGTCTGCCTGCACCGCTGATTATATGGTATATTTGCTAAATGAAACCGCATTTTATAGGGAAATATAAATGACAAATGATCACGACATTAACCACTGTGAGATGATGGAATACAGTTGCTAGCTGTGCTTAACTCAAGGAAGTTTGGTAAACCATTTAGAAGAATATAACAAGTGGTGAGAATAATATTGACTAGGATTTCTGTGTTGGTTTCAAGCATTCTGTTAGGTCGGAAAATATATTGTTGTTAGCAGTGAGGTCGTGAGTGGTACGTGTAGTAACACCATAACTTGATTGAAGAGATTTTGATTGGCTTACTTACGGCTAGAATTTCTGAGGTTTTGTAAACTGTATGTGCAATTTATTCTGGATAATGAGACGTCATCGTTGGTGTCACAGTTAAATCTCACTTTTGTGTCTGTCTCAAGGTGAGGTTTATTTCCAAGTGATCAGTTGCTTACAGTGCCGTATCTGTAGGCAAATTCTAGTCAAGTTTGACAACAACCACAAACTGGTAACACTCCTTTATCGCACAACCACGTTAAAATAATTGGTTTTTCCTCGTTATAACCAGTAGGATTTGTATGTACGCTGCTGGAAAGAGATAATGTGTGTAACAGTTCAGTTAAGGAACCGTTTAAAAAGTTACGGTGTACTTATTATGATTCGGATTATGAAACTATAGTAAATCCACATTTTTACTTTCCACTAAATGCTTATGCTGTACATGGTCAAAGACGAACAACTTTGTATTAAGAGTCACAAGTGATGACCTGAAAATATGGACTGCCTGAGAAATAGAACTTCAAAAAGCGCGGGGCGAACTCAGAAGTGTTTAACCGCAATGATTACGCATGTATCCAACCAAAATAAACAATGTACAGTAATACAGTGGTAAATATTCCACAGGTATATATATATATTAAATTTTTCTGAGCGCATAACATACTAACATGAATTTATTTTATAAACGTACACTTAGGCTTGATATAGGGAGCTGGAAAGTTGACTGGGAGCGAATTACTTACATAATCCAAGTCTTTTATGATAACTCCTATGAAGGCAAATGGAAAGTACTGAGAATCTGTCGTGACTGTTGTCTCACACTAAACAGTCGGCAAATCAGATAGTACTGTTCCAAGCAAGAAATTAAACGTATTTTTTCCAAAGTGTGAACCTCGAAATGCTAACCCGAGACACACCTGAAAGTTTCTTATGTATAATTTCTATCCCAGATTTTTTTATTACCTTTTATCTGTAATTTCTAAGCCAGATTAACTCTTTGTTGGACAATCACTGAGCTTTACTGTTTACAAAATTAGGCGTGACAAGTACAAGATGTATTTTTCGAACACATTACACTTGATGCATATATTATGTTATCTCCTTATTTTACCGATAAACACCATAGGAACTAATACCCTTACGTTTCGGCAGGCGTTCTTATAAACTGCCTTCAGGAAACCTCAGATCTAGAGATTTTAAGAAGACCTTCATGGTTATAAGTATGAAACTTGGGCACTGTGGTACAGTATAACTCCATTATGGATAGCATTTTATTTTGATAAATCACACGGTGTTGTACAGTAATATTAACTGATGACTACGTTTCGAGCACAAACTATTGCTCATAATCATATCAAGTTGGTCTTCGTGACGATCGACCACAAGCAACCCATTAGAAACTGTCCTTCCCACATAATGACAGAAAGACTACCACAAGTTGCATTCGACAGCGCAGCAATAACACGCAAACTGTTATAATAACGTTTGAATTTTCAGATTATAGTACAAGCAATCATAACTGGTTTGTATAAATGTCAAATTATAAACTTTTTACTGAGGTCACCATTAAAATTGAGCGCCAACCCAAACTTCAGTCAGTTTTCTGATAGTTATGGTAATCCAATGAACAGCCTATATTTGGTCAAATGCGATCCCTCACTCACGTGGTGGAAAGCCATTTCAGGAAGAGAAGTACGTCCTGGTAAACTCTAAAATGCCATAAAATACAACTGTGGATAACAAATCATTGGAAACACATATACGAGAGGTATAAGACAAGGAGCTATGGAGTTCTTGGAATGGGAACTAAGGCGTTTTCGATGAAAATATAGTTTTGTTTAAACGTTGGTGCTGTTGTTGTGTATTATTCCATCAGAGCGACCAAACATTATGCGAGCGACGAATACGAGCTAAAGAGTAAGGATGGACATTAATATAGGCCCAGGTAATTAAGCTAAAATAGTGTACTAGTGCGTAGATAAAAAGGTTATCTGAAAGTATATAGATGATGTTTCAGTGAGAAGTGAATTTAAAGATGTGAAAAGTTAGAACCTGTAAGATAAGCTGACATGTAAGATCGCTCACGAATTTCTGTAGGTCCCATGTGATAGCATCTTGACGAGAATCTGAGCAGGCTTGTAGATGCTACGAGAAAATCCTTTTTGTTGAACATTTAGATCTGTGCAGCCGGTAGGTTACTGAAACGGGCTGAAGCTCTGACACATCGAAAAATTCTAGATGAGTGTGAATGCATTTGAAGATTGAACGATCAATTCTTGGTTGTTTGCTTAAAATCAACTTCCCCAATTTTCGCGGAAGCATCAATACGACAGTCATCGTCTCATCGGTCGCTGTTCAGAAAGAAGATTGAAACATCGTCAGAAGTAATACAGAGATTTATTATTGTAATATTTGTTTTCTGACCTTAGTTTGCTTAGTTCGCTTATTCCTTTTATATGTTGTTGTAACAATACAGAAATATCAAACGGCAGATCGGTGTTTTGGTTTTTGCGTCCGTTATAACTAAGCGTTTCTGAGAAATCTTCTAAGAACAGCGTGGGCCCGAGCGTAGCGAGAGCTGGGCATTAACGGTTTATGAGACTTGGCTGACAATGAGCTACGGAGCTAACAACTAACGAACTAAATATACGTGGATGTATAAGTCCGATCGATGTCTCGCTGGAATATTCTGATGATTTT